TGTGTGAGTGCGTGTGTGTACGTGTTTGCTTCTCATTCCGTGGAGAGGAGACAGGTGCGTGGCGCGGCAGATGTGTGAGACGGAGGGGTGGCTGAGGGGCGCGTCGCGCGGCGTCGCGTCCTTGTGCGCCTCGACGATGACGACCTCGCGCGGCGCGGACTCATTCCGCGAGAGTCGGTCTCGCCGCTCTGTCTCTGTCGCACTCATGGGGCGTCCCCTATAGGTGCGAGAGAGACAGGCGACTCTCGGAATCAGTCTGCTAGCGGAGCTCCGCGGCCTCACCTGTGCAGCATTCTTACCGAGCAAAACAAAATAAAACGAGAAGAAGAATGAGAGTCGGCGGTACACGAGGAAAGTAAGAACAACCCCCGCAGAGGTAAAGGCGGCGAGGAGATTGTAATTGACAGGCCGGAACGCGAGTTGATAATTTGATCATCCCTCTGCGCCGCGGCGCCGCCATGCCGCCGCGCCAAGGCGAGGCGCCCGAGTCCCGCCAGAGCCACAAGGGAAGGCCGAAGGGAAGGCCGCACGGAGGGCGCCGCGCCGACACACGCGGAGCGCGGAGCGCGGAGCATCGCCTCTGATTCCCGACGTAATTCGCCCTTTCTTTTTTACCGCGGCAACTTTATGTGGTTAGGACACGTTCTCGCGGAATACGTAATAAGTCGAGGCGGCCTTGCCCAGGCCTTGCCGCCTTCCCTTCGGGACCCGCTGGGCCGCCAGGCCGCCAGGGGGAGGCAATAACTCAGCCTCATACGTGCCGCGCTAATTTCCCGTCCCCCGGGGCCGCGCGCGCTGCATCGCCGTCGTGCTGCAGGCTGCACCGGTGCGAGGTGAAGAAGAAGAAGACCGTCGTCGTCCTGCCGCTGCGCGAGGCGCGACGAGTCGGGCTATTTATCTGCTGTCCTGCGGGACGCGGCGACGCGGTGCGACGGTGGGACGTCGCAAAACACCAGCAGCCAGCAGCGCTGCGGGGCTGACAGAGCTGGCAGCCCCGGAGCGGAGACCCACCCCTTTATTTTTACAGAATTTGTGGCCGCAGAGATGTGGATTTACCGCGCAGAAAAGGGAAGGGCTGAGCCGAGCGCGCGGCTTGGGCGGCTTGCCGACTGGGTGTCTGGCCGTGGCGTCGCGGCGTCCCCGCGCGCCGTGCCACTCCATGCACTCCATGGACGGACGGCACACTAACTGGAAAATATTCAAGTGGGCGGGCAGCTGGAACAGGAAAGGGGGCTTCGTCGCTCTGAGTGCCCCACGCCCTCGCGTTGAGTTGGCCTGGATGCCCTGGATTCGCCTGCCCGGCCTGACGCCGCCCGGTGCGTAGGCAGCCCAACGCACCGCGCCGCCGCCTGGGCTGCCGCCCGGCCCGGCGAGGCACGCGCTGCCTGGACAGCGGTTCTCGGCCTTGAGGGGTCGCAAAGCTCGTCAGGCCAAAAGCACTTCTGCAGGTCATGAGCATTTCGAAGGCTAGAGCATTTCTCCACGCCAAGAGCATTTTTCGGGTCAAGAGCATATTCTTGGGGAGGGACATTCGATGGGGGCGATCGCTCCCTCCCAAACCGCCAACGCCCTGGCGGCCCTGGCCCGGGCTCTGTTTCTGAGGTTCGGTTTCGCCTTGGTTGTCAGTCAAGCCACAGTCTTAATAACAACGGATTTTTGTATTCTTTGGACGAAAGGCGCAGGGATTACTGTGCGGTGAGGCGGTGTCGCGATTAGGACAGAAAGCCGAAGTGCCAGGCGCACCGTCGCCCCGCCCCGCCCGCCACGCCACGCCACCCTTATGCTAATTGCCAAAAATGAACGGCACTGCCGCGGCCTGCAAGCTGATTTCGCGCCGTGTTCCGTCGCTCTGTCTCCCTCGCACTCCGACGGGACGCCCCATGCGTGCGAGAGAGACACCAACGAGAGCGCAGTTCGGAGCGAGCCCGCTGCAGCGGTCGCCCCGCCTGCCCCGCCTGCCCCGCCTGCCCCGCCGGTCTGCGGCGGACGCCCTGCCGTCCTGCCGCCCCGCCGCCCGCCGCGGACGCCGCCGACACTGGGGGCTGTTGCTCATTTGCAACATAATAAAATTCATGTCTCGCGCGCGTCAAACTTATCTTTCAAAATATGAGAAATCTTAATTTTTCCCTTAACTAGCCGCCGCGAGCGAAAATAATTAGAAAAGTGCCAGCAGTGACAGTCGGGGATTTTTCATGGACGGCGTGTCTGCGCGGCGCCACGGCGGTGCGGTCGCTGCTGCCGAAAGCCGAGGCCGGGAGTCGAAAGGCGAGCGGGTCTCGGAATAATTACCCTCCCCGCTGTCCCCGCCACCCCGCTGACGGCGTCCCCGGCGTCTCCGACGTCTCCGTCATACGTGGCCTGCGCCTTGATAAGAAGGGAGCCGCGAGCCGCTCTGCGCGACTTTCTCAAGTCGGCGACGTGGACGTGCGGGCAAGGGGGAGGCCGTCCAGGCCCCTCCCCTGGGAGGACATGCAGGTGCACCCGCGGCAGGCTGATTCCGAAAGTCCTTGTGGTCGCTCTGTCTCTCTCACTCATGGGCGCTCCGTATAGGTGCGGGAGAGACAGAGAGACGAGAAGGACTCTGCAGGGAATGCCGTCCCTTCCCCCATGACCGTCGGCTCGCCGTCGGCTGAGCGTGGCGAGGCTGTGCTGCGCCACGCTGCGAGTCAGAGTCCCATTCCGTCCCCGTGGCTTTTAAAACACAAACCCTTGAGGCTTTGCTGCTCCGCGCTCCGCTCTGCTTGCATGAGTCGGGCGAGCCAACTCGTCTAACTCACGGAGACGATCCAGGCAGCAACCAGGCAGCGACGTCCCTCCTCCAAGCTGTAAATTATTTTCATTTCTCCACTCGTTCGTTACAGAGTTCTTTCTTCTCATCAGACTTTCTTGCTTGCTCCCCCTTCTCCTTGCGTGCCTTTTGTTCTCACCCCCGCCGCGCCCCCGCCGCGCCCCCGCCACCCCCAAGCCTCAACTGACTCCCTTCTCTCTTTCTTTGCATGGTAATGACTTCATCTTGGCAACCCCCATCCCCATCCCCGGCCCTGCTCTGGCCTGCCCTGCCGCCCCCGCACGCCCCACACAGTGCCCCCACCTTCCTCCCGGCAGTCTATCCTGGCTATCCGTCCCGAAGTCCTGGCTGGGCCCTCTGCCCTCGACCAGGCCGTTCAGATGGGAGGGGCGCTTCGTGTCGTGGACGTGGCCGCGTGGCGCACCCATCCAAATTGTTTAGCGCCGAAGCGGGACACCTCCCCGACGGGCCGGACTTGCCGATCCTCGAACCCCATCACCCACCACCGGCCGCCAGTACCTGCTAGTCCCTGGTGGGACTGGGATTCGACGCGCCGCGTGCCGGGCAAACGCCAAGGAGGTCCCCGTCGTGGCCGCCTCCGCCGCCTCCCCGTCTGCAGCTGCACTCATCAACCCCGTGGCCAAGCCAGCCAAGCAGGCCAAGCCAAGCCTCGCCCAGTCGGCATGCAATGCAACGGCAACGGCCCGCTAGCGAAGCCCCGCCGACATTCCAAGGAAAATAAAACGGAGAAATCAAGACAGTGGAAACTTCCTTCCTCCCACGCCCTCCTCGCGGCGCCGGCGGCCTCCCCCCTCCCCCCTCTCTCTCTCTCCCTCGGCCCCACATCCCCATCCGACCGCACACCTCTTATCTCTCTCACACTCATTCCACCACCATCATAATAATCTTCGTATGCAGATCTGCCGTGCCGCTCCCCTTCCCGACCGTCTCCTTTTTTCTCCCTTCGCCGGGCTTCGCTCTTCGCTTCCCCGCTGCGTGCTGCTTCCGAGTGGGGGGCCTCTCTCTCGCACTCACGGGGCTGCCCCGGCCCGCCGTGTGGGTGCGAGAGGGACAGGGCGACGGGCCTCGCCCTCGGAATGAGCCCGCTGGCCGCGCGGTCTTGCGCGGTCTCTGCTCTCCGGCGCGCTGGCGAGGCCCTATTGATTCTCCGTCTTCGTTACCATACTCCTCGCGTCTTCACACGGAACTCCCTCGTTTTGCCGCACGCCGCCTTTCCTCCCCCGCCTCCGCTATCCCACCCCGCTTTATCGAGTTCGTGTCCGAGCCCGTTTGCCTTGCCCTGCCTTGCCCTGCCTTGCCCTGCCTTGCCCTGCCTTGCCCTGCCTTGCCCTGCCTTGCCCTGCCTTGCCGCGTTTGGCGCGGAAGGACGGAGAACGCACGGCACTACACTGCCAGGGAACGAGTTGGCGCTCGGCGCGCCAAAGTGGGGCAATTGAGGGGGGGGGCGGATGACAACAAATTCAATTTCCCTTTTTCGAGTGGCGGCGCCAAAACTGCGGCGGTTTGCTCGAGGAGCGCGTGCGAGCCGCGCGGCGCTACCCCTTCGCGACCTTCCCAGCGCCTGCCCGCTGTGCGTGGGGAGGGAACCGAGGGAGCGACAACGACACGCATGCGCACGCCATCTAGCGGACGAGTGGGGAGGCTGCCAAGCGCTCTTCACGTCGCGCTCGCGACCCCCGCGGCGCAGCGGCACGGGGCTGCGCCAGCTGCGCCCGCTGCGCCCGAATCCAACATCTTTCGCGTTTCGAATGCAAATTCAAAGTCCGGGGAAGTCCCGGCGCGTGGGACTCAATCGATGCAATGCATCCGCTGTGGACGGTGTGGAATCCGAGTTTCAGCCGTCGGCTACAGCCGCCTACACACACTCACGCGTAGTCGCGCCCACACACGCGTGGACGAGAATAGCGTGTGGACTCATAACAGTGTGCACTCGCAGCGAAGAAGACGGCGCTGCTTCCTCCACGACAGGTTTGTTTTTCCGCTTTCCATGACGCGGGAAGGACACTGGCGGCGTTCTGGCGGCGCGGTGACAGTTTTCGGGGACCAAGTAGAGCAGCAGCCTGAGTGCGTCATCTCCCCCGCGACCTGCACAGCGTGTTGGCGCGGGTCCAGCGCGAGAAAAAAGCCGAGCGGCTGCACTGCAGGGGCCCGACTAGCGGGCTGTAGTGCGCCGGGCAGTGCCGGTGGGCGGGCCGCCTTGACAGGACGCCTCGAAGCAGTGCGTCTCGCAGCCCTCGCTCACCGCGACATCGCGAGGGCCTGCTTCGCCGCGCCCAGCAAGCCACCGCCGCCACCGCGTGCTGCAGACTGATTCCGAGAGTCGCTCTGTCTCTCTCGCACTCGCGGGGCGTGCCGTATAGGTGCGAGAGCGACAGAGCGATGCGGCGCTGCCGCGTGACATGACGGATCCCCTCGGAAGACACCGACCGCGGCCTGCTCCTTATTCCTGGCCGCGTCCGCCGCGTCCGCCGCTAGCTGCTGCCGCCCTGCCGCCATTATTCGTCAGTGAGTAACAGATGCGGTCCGCCGCGAGGCTGCCGTAGGCTGCCGTAGCCTCCCGCCTCGATGGATGGTCCAGCCTGCTAACTGCCGCCCCGGCCCGCCACGCCCCGCCAGCGCGTCCCGCTCTCCGCGAAGAAGCACCAGCTTCCCTCCAGTTTACGGGTTTACCGGCCGCTTTGAGGCGTTCTCGCTTTCAAAGGACCCGCCCCGCCTCGCCCCGTGTGAAGTTGTTCCGGCGGGCATACTTCCAAGTGGCTCCGGTAAAGCGCAAAGCCGTTCGGCCCGCGGCCTGCCTGCCTGCCTGCTCGGTCTGCCCGGCCCGCGCCACTTGGATCCAAAGACGCCGGCCTAATTCGACGCCATTCATCAGTGGCCAGCGGCCAGCAGTGGAGTGGTGGCGAGAGGGAGGCCTCTCTTTTGCACTCTTGGGGCGCCCCGTTTGGGTGCGAGAGAGACGGGCCGCCGAGACCTCTCGTTCGGAATCAGCCAGCAGGCAGGCAGGCAACCACAAAGTGCTGGAACTGGAGTTGCCACTCCTTTCCCTGACGGCCCTTCCACGGCCCTTCCGCGACTGACGCAGATGTGACCACTCGAGACCGCGACCGCACCTGCACCTGGTGCGCAGCGGCAGCGAGGCAGCGAGCGCGCGTCTTTCAAAAGATGCGCATTAGTCTTGAGCGGACGAATCTGCAGTGCCGCCATGGAGGGCTCGAGTGGCCCGGTAGGCCCGCTTCAAAATTAGCCAGAATTAATGCTCCGCGGAACTCCGCCAATCTGGACGTGGCGCGGATGTTGCCGACGAGACGGGACTGTCCAGGACCGTCTTCGAGTCGGCCAGGCGCCAGGGAGGCATCCTGTTTGGGGAACAAGACGAGTGGCATATCGAGAATCGAGGCCCGGGACTCGTCGGTCCGTCAGCCATTTCCCATTCTCACCCCAAAGGTTGGCTGCGGCTGCGGCTCGCCTTGCGTGGTGCCGGTTGGGTGGCCTATCCACCAGGCGCCTGGAAGCACGCTGCGCGCAGAACTGAAGACGCATTTTGGCCATCTGTGCTTACTTGTGTTGAGTCATGTGTGTGCTGGGGCCGGTCGGTCGAGTAGAAGAAATTCTTACTCTGAGATAAGTCCTAAAGGGCACACGCCCTACCGCAACCCTTGTTCCTGGACCTCTTCCCACAGCGACGGGCTACGCGCACGGACGAGGAGGGGCCATGGGGGCGAGATTGCTCGTTAGTGTTGGCAGGACTGCAGGGCGGGGGACAGGGAACACAATCCCCGTCTCAATCTGCTCCTCTCCGCACCTCCCTCCTTCTCTCTCGCTCCTTGAGCTCCCGCGCCAAGTGACGCGTCAAACGGCGGCGAGTGGACTGTGAGTGGTGAATGGTGTATCGTCCGCCCGGCCGGCCCGGCCGCCCCCCTCGGACTCCACGTGCTTCGCAGTGCTGCAGTGCTGCGCACGCTGCGCAGTGCGGCCCGTGAGGGTGGCAACAATGCGGCCAGACAAATTATCGGCATTACTCTTGGTCTCCGTTCCGGCCGTTCCTCCGCCCAGGACCATCCTGGAGCCGTGCGCCTTGGCCGCCTTGGCCGCCTCGGCTCGCCACACCAGGGCCGCTATCGCTAATTAGTCTCTGGAAGGGATGAGAACGCGAACCGCCGCAGCGAAAATGATGAAATTTTAGCAAGCATTGGGCGTCACTCACTCCCCTGTAGCCGATGAAAGCGGGGATCCAAAAAATGGGTCCGTCCGGGATTTGAACCCGGGACCTCTCGCACCCTAAGCGAGAATCATACCCCTAGACCAACGGACCGCGATGAACATGACCGCTACCGTGAGCGGTCTGCTGCATGCGCCGCGGTTCTCCGCAGCGAAAAGCGCGCGAGCGGTGGAGGGGGAATCAGGTCACCGTCGATCCACCGCGCCGTGCCGCACCGCTCAGCTCCGCGACTTTTGCAAAGTGAAAAAACAAGGGTCCGTCCGGGATTTGAACCCGGGACCTCTCGCACCCTAAGCGAGAATCATACCCCTAGACCAACGGACCGCTGTGCCGTGATTGCCGCCGGACGCGGTGCACTGTCCGCGACACGTGGGCCGATCATTCCCGAGCGGCGTCGGGGAAGGGAGGGGGAAACGGGTCGGCGGCGCTGCTTCGCCCAGCGGCCCAGCGCCCATAGTGCCTGGTGAACGTCAAGCGAATTGGACGAATACTGCAAATCAATGTACTATGATGCCGCTTTGCACATCGATAGTTGGGGCCAAAATAAAGGTTTTGACCCGCAGAGGCATTTGATCCGTCCCTTAGGAAAAAAGTTATAACGGTTTGAAATTAACATGGCGCCTTACGGGGATTCCGGGTAGGCAACCCGCCGCACACATCGGCAGTTTTCGCGCTGTCCAGGTTTAATTTCGATCAAAAATGGCATTTAGAATTGGAATTTTCGAACCAAACTTCTAGCGTCGCTTAGGGAGGGTCCATAGAGCACGCTCACGTTGATAAACCGACAATATCAATCTTGACACGGAATTTATAAGCTCTCAAAGTCAAAATTTCCGGAAATTTAACACAGCGGTGTTCAAAACCTTATGACTCAAGATTCAGCCACCCAAAACCTTGCCTCTTCGGGTCAATCTGTCAAGTGGAGTATCAGGAACAACCCCCTGGTTGCCGATTTTCGCTAGGACCTCTAGATCTCGATTTTTGGTCGATTTTGTGCTGAGAGAGCATGGCCCGGAGCGGCGCGGGCTGGTCCGGCCGGCGCGGCGACAGCGCGATGAGCTCTTTTCGGAGACTTATTGCGAGGAGCAGGAGTGTCGGTGACACTTGCACGCTCTGGCTTTCAAACTAGGTCACTCTTACTACCGATCATGAAATTTGGGGCCACGTGGGGCACGGGGGCCGTCCCTAAATGAAGGCCCGAAAAGGGCGGATCGGACGGCCAGGCCAACCGGCGTGCGGGCCGGCGCCGGCCGTTGTAGCGCGATGCGCACTTTTCGGAGACTTATTGTGAGGAGCAGGAGTGTCGGTGACACTTGCACGCTCTGGCTTTTAAACTAGGTCACTCTTACTACCGATCATCAAATTTGGGGCCATGCGGGGCACGGGGACCGTCCCTAAATGAAGGCCCGAAAACGGCGGATCGGACGACAAACCGGCGCGCCGGTCGTTAGCGCGATGCGCACTTTTCGGAGACTTATTTTGTGGTGCACGAGTGTCGTGCGACACTAAAATGCAATGTCGCACTTACCACAACTTACCAAATCTGGAAGTTGGAAGGGGGGGATAGTGACAGGAGGACGGCAGTGTATGAAGTTTCTTTCTGAAGGTGTCGATATCATTTTCTTCTCGTGCTAACTTTATTAATAATTATTGAATTTGTCAGGAATATCTTTTGGATACAACCTCTAGTGCAGCCCCCTGCGATTCCTGCGCGTCGTACTATGGTTACTCGTTGACCAGGGGTTATTAATTCATTAATGTACTGTCTTCCTCATTTTGCTGGTTTGGAATTAATTGATCTTTGCTGCTGGATTGTCCGGATCCTGATCGTCTGACTGGAAGTTAACAGGATCGGCAGGATGGCCCTTTTTCGGCCTTCATTTAGGGACGGTCCCCGTGCCCAGCTCGGCCCCAAATTTGATGATCGGTAGTAAGAGTGACCTAGTTTAGAAGCCAGAGCGTGCAAGTGTCGCCGACACTCCTGCTCCTCAAAATAAGTCTCCGAAAACTGCGCATCGCGCTACAACGGCCGGCGCGCCGGTTTGTCGTCCGATCCGCCGTTTTCGGGCCTTCATTTAGGGACGGTCCCCGTGCCCCGCATGGCCCCAAATTTGATGATCGGTAGTAAGAGTGACCTAGTTTAAAAGCCAGAGCGTGCAAGTGTCACCGACACTCCTGCTCCTCACAATAAGTCTCCGAAAAGTGCGCATCGCGCTACAACGGCCGGCGCCGGCCCGCACGCCGGTTGGCCTGGCCGTCCGATCCGCCCTTTTCGGGCCTTCATTTAGGGACGGCCCCCGTGCCCCACGTGGCCCCAAATTTCATGATCGGTAGTAAGAGTGACCTAGTTTGAAAGCCAGAGCGTGCAAGTGTCACCGACACTCCTGCTCCTCGCAATAAGTCTCCGAAAAGAGCTCATCGCGCTGTCGCCGCGCCGGCCGGACCAGCCCGCGCCGCTCCGGGCCATGCTCTCTCAGCACAAAATCGACCAAAAATCGAGATCTAGAGGTCCTAGCGAAAATCGGCAACCAGGGGGTTGTTCCTGATACTCCACTTGACAGATTGACCCGAAGAGGCAAGGTTTTGGGTGGCTGAATCTTGAGTCATAAGGTTTTGAACACCGCTGTGTTAAATTTCCGGAAATTTTGACTTTGAGAGCTTATAAATTCCGTGTCAAGATTGATATTGTCGGTTTATCAACGTGAGCGTGCTCTATGGACCCTCCCTAAGCGACGCTAGAAGTTTGGTTCGAAAATTCCAATTCTAAATGCCATTTTTGATCGAAATTAAACCTGGACAGCGCGAAAACTGCCGATGTGTGCGGCGGGTTGCCTACCCGGAATCCCCGTAAGGCGCCATGTTAATTTCAAACCGTTATAACTTTTTTCCTAAGGGACGGATCAAATGCCTCTGCGGGTCAAAACCTTTATTTTGGCCCCAACTATCGATGTGCAAAGCGGCATCATAGTACATTGATTTGCAGTATCCTTTGACGTTCACCAGGCACTACCAGCCCAGCGGAGCCCCACGCACCGTCCGCGAGGCGCACTAGGCGGGGCCCCCGTCGACGGCGACTCTCTCCGAGTCCGGGTGCGACGGCGGTGCGTCGGAAGGTCGGAAGAGTGTTTGACGTCAGTACACACTCACACAGGCGGCATGAAAAAGTCGCACCTCTATAGTCATTGATTCCGCGACGTTGCGTAATTGGCACTCAAAAAGAAAGGGACCGCTCTCGCCAGCGTCGCATCGCATTAGCATGGCCAGGCAGGGAACACACTCAGCTACAATGCAATACTCTTCCCCACAGTGGCCGCGGCGACCGGGCGCCACGCCGACGACGTGGACGTCGTCGAGGACATGCTGCGCGAGGACAGCGACCCCGCCGGCCCGCCGGCCCGCCTCACTGTCGACGCCGTCCTGGGGCGCCACCTGGTGGCCGGGAGGGACATCCACGCCGGGGAAGTGATCCTCCGGTGCGAACCCCTGGTCATGGGGCCCAAGGCAAGTGGCGATGGGACTCCAGATTCCAGCGTAGGGGCACTAGCCGTGTCCGCCAGCTTTCTGATGCGCGGTGTTTCCTTGTTTTGCAGGTGGCGGGCTGCCCTGCGTGCCTTGGTTGCAACCGCGTCCTTGCCCTCAGCTTCGCAGCCTTGACGGCGTCCTCGCTGCACAAGTGCGCCGAGTGCGGTTGGCCGCTGTGCTCTGCAGCGTGCCAGCACGTCTCCGCGCACACCAAGGAGTGCGCCGTCCTGCGGAGGGTCCGCGTCGCCGCCGACCGCCGTAAGCTTTGTCGACCCGTTTCCGAGTGTGGAAATGAGTCTGCAGGGAATGACATTGTTTCTTTTAGCAGTGCCGCCGGCGCACTGGTACGCCGCCGTGCTGCCGCTGCGCTGCCTGCTGCTGGAGGGGCGTGCGGGGCGCGCCGTCAGGACCCTGCAGTCGCACCTGGAGGAGCGGCTGCGCGACGCGCCCGCCTACCGCGGCCAAGGGGTGCAGCGCCGGGCCGCCGCCTTCGTCGCCGAGGTCCTGGGGACCGGCGAGGAGGACGCCCTGCGCATGGCGGCCACCCTCGACACCAACGCCTTCGACGTGAGCAGGGACGGCCTGGAGGTCAGTCGGTCCATTTCGAACGAAGCGCGGAAACGGCGCTAAAACTAGCAACTGACTGAGTCGAACTGGTTCCAGGCCAGGGCGCTGTACGGCTCCGTGTCCATGCTCTCCCACGACTGCCGGCCCAACGCGCGTTGCGCCATGCTGTCCGGCGTGGTGCTGGGCGTGGTGGCGCAGCGCGACATCGCCGCGGGGGCCATCATCAGCATCAGCTACTACGCGGACAGCCTCCGAGGGTCACTGGCGCGCCGGCAGCACCTTCGGGCCACCAAATGCTTCGACTGCGCCTGCGCGCGGTGCAGGGACCCCACGGACCTGGGCCTGCACCTGGACTCGGTGCGCTGCATCCAGTGCCGGCAGGACGGTGCGGACGAACGACGCCATGCCGGGAGTGACGCTGTAGCCGCGCGGCCTAACCGAACCTGCTTCTCCTTGGCGTAGGTGGGACTTCCCTGCTGCAGTCCGGCGCACCGCTGGACCGCACGGCCGACTGGCGCTGCCCGCGCTGCGGCTTCACGCTGTCCGCCGACCAGATGGCCATGGGGCACCGCCGGCTGTGCGCGCAGGTGGCCGCCCTGCGCCTGGAGGACGCCGTCGAGGCCGAGGCCTTCCTGGCGGAGCACCTCGGGCCGCGCGGCCTCCTGCACGCCACGTCCGCCCACGTGCTGCGCGTAAAGCAGGGGCTGCTGGGGGCGGCCTTCGCGCACATCCCCGGATGCACGCCGCAGCTCAGTACGTGCTGCAGCTGCACTGCAAAAACAACACAAATTGGGAACTCTTGAAAATGCCGAAATAACCCGTGGGCCGCGCGTTGTGGCACACAGGCCTGAGCGACGACCAGTTGGAGCGCGCCATCGCCATGAGCGAGGAGATGCTGGGCGTGGCCGCCGTGCTGGAGCCGGGGCTGAGTGTGCTGCGGGGCAGCCTGCTTCTGCGCCTTCTGGGCCTGCTGCTGGAGCGCGCCAGGCGGGCGCCAGCCACCACCAGCACCAGGGTACGAAAAACCATCGAACATCTCGTGCCCAGTGCCCACGTCGCTGAAGTACTCCAATCTTCGGCGCCTTTTTCGCAGGTCGACGTCGACGCCGCCCGCCGGCTGTTCCGCGAGGCGCAGACCATCTTCATGGACCTTGAGACCGAGGAGGAATTGCGGAAACGGGGCGCCATGATGGAGCAGTGGATCGACGAGCACGTCGTGCTTCCGAAGGTGCGGGTTTTGGATTTTCCACGGCGCCAACTCTTTGTCCGCCACGCCCACCGTGTCGCGTCTCTGTCCCTCCCACGCTCGAGGGCTATCTATGCCCCCCCCCCTCTCCTCTCCCTCTGCTAATAGCCGCCTTGGGCCTCTTCCTGTAGGCGAGGCAGATTAGACAATGAGCAACACCCGCCAAGTAATCGCCCAATCGTGTACTACCGCGCATTCCACGCCGCCAATAATTACTTTATACCGTTCTCCGTTTCTTGCAGCGTACAGCAAGCGTGCAGCGAGTAACGGAGGGACCAAGAAGGGCCATTGCGGGTGGCAATCTTTAGGCAGCCACCTGAGGTGCGTGTTCCAGAGAGAACAGGGGGGTCAAAACTTGGTCTGGGCCAAGTTTCGACTAAATCACTCGTTTTGAGGACGCACGTTTGCTTCCTTTGGCCTTTTCTGTTTTCCCTGCGTGCGCTTGCTTGATACATGGCGCCAAGGGCGGCGCCGCTTTCCATCTAGGAGCGTGCGTCGATGGCGTGTTTCTGCAGCGTTTCGTCGCACTGTCTCTCTCGCACCTACGCGAGACGCCCCATGAGTGCGAGAGAGACAGTGCGATGAAAGCTATGTTGGAATCTCTGTTGAGGCCGGCGCCTTTCTTGCAGTGTCGCTGCACGCTGCGCTGCGCGCTGTACGCTGCACGCACTCATTGGCGCGAGCAGCGCAAGCGCGGAGAGTGTGGAGGAGTACAGAGTGCAGCTATTCGCCCCGCAGAGCCCCGCCAGGTGGCAGCACCGTCGGTGCCAGATTGTGGTTGACACTGGCTGCACTTGCTCTCGCGACGCGTCTGTGGCCTGTTCTGTCTGTCTAGGCGGTGCACAGTGCATCGTAATTTTGAGAATATTAGTATAAATTTTGACGATCAGTGCGGGTCAGGCATCGCGGATGTGGTGTGTGGTGTGTCTGAGTGGCACTCATCCCGGTAAAACTTATTTCCAAACGTTGCACCGAACCGGCCGGTTTATCGGGACGCGCTCCGACGCTCTTTCGTGAAATCGAATATTATTGAGAGTTTATGCTAACTAGACAGCATATACTCGCAATCCGACGTAACATTTCACGTAGAATCAATTGATGTGGTCGGTTTTGCAAATTGTTGGAGGATGTCAAGAATAAAAGTGGATGTGAAACACGCGGTTAGGTTAGGTGGCCCGTGGCGTATTTTCGCAGATGTTTCGTTTTGCGTCAAATGCCTGTCGCGTTTCGCGCCGTACTGATCGACGGTATTCCTTCGAATTTTAAAATAAAATTAGCGTGCACTCCACGCTCCTAGTCGAAAAATCTCCTCAAACTTCGCCAAACGTTTTTCATTTCATGCGGACAGCTGACAGCGATGTTTCACGGACGGAATAAATAAACATTTTACTCTTTATCTCCACATTCCATCACAGAACAGAACTTAAACCACTTGGTATTCGTCCCGAAACTTCCTTCCATGGCTAAAAGAAGGCAACAAATGAATATAAACTTCGTATTTCAAGCTCTCGCAAGCCAAGGCACCCGGCTGCTGCGGAGCGTCCATCAGGTGTGAGCGCTGTGTCGACCGCTGTCATCGAGCTTCCAAGACTGGCCGCCAGATGTCAGCCACTTTGCTCTGCGGGGCGAATTGCGCCTGCAGCCGAAGCCGACGCAGGTGGGGTCCGATTCGCTTATTCGCCAGTGTGCCAACCGTCGTCTGCAGCAGCGCGCGCAGCCTTCCCCCGCACGGCTGGAACCCAAATCCGAACCAGTTGCATGCAGTCGCGGGTTACACAACTCCCAGCACGCCAGCGCGCCGGTACAGCGACGCGGCGCTGGAGTCTGGAGATCTGGCGGGTCGGTCCAGACGACGGGACGGCTTGGACGAGACAGCTGGGCTGGAGTCTGGGTCCGCGGCGTCTGGTCGGCTCCGAGAGGGAAGGTTCTTTGACCTCCCGTCCCCGCCAGCTCTCGCCGTGCTGCAACTGACCTCCCCACACCATAGCGCCCCGCTCGCTACGCCCCGCCAGGCCCCGCCAGGTGGGTGCCAGTGCCCCCCGGGCCGCCGCGCCGCCGCCCAGCCTGCGTTGCCTGCGTCTGCGTCGGACCGTCGGACTTCACGACTGCACCGCGCGGGAGAGAAAGGCTTTCCCTCGCCGGACGACCCGGGGTCCGGACGGCTGCCCGGCCCGTTGCCTGAGCCTGTTCAGCGCTGGAGTTTGAACGCGCCGCGCTCGTCCTGCTCAGGACTCTGCCCCTCCTTCCACGGCGCCACGGGCCTGGCTAGCCTGGCAGCCTGGCCGCTCTAGCCGACCGTTTGTAGTTGTAGAAAGCGATGGCCAAACTGCAACTCTCCAGCTCCAGCTGATTCAGTGACAGTGGCTTTGAGCGGGGGATCTTCATTCCGTTTTCGTCCTGTGGAATCCGGCGAGTGCTTGAAGTGTCATCATGTTTTGGAGACGTAAAACTTGTCCCATTCCCAAGGCGTCTGGTAAGAAAAACAAAGACATGCTTGTCAACACTGTTGTATTGTTTATTATCCCATGAATTCAACAGGTGGATTGTGTGCTGCTCAGCCTTCAGCTTTCTATCATCCTTTAGCTTTTAAAGCTCTATTTGGATGAGTTTTCTATTTGCCTAACCTCATCTCCTGAGGTTTTTATTATGCAAATGATGATGATCATACACTTTTGATAGTTTTAATTTTATTATCATTTCATAAATACTCTCATTAAATAAACTGACATGCATTTACCCTTACCTGTAATGTCTTTCACATGCAAAATGAGCTGTTAGAAAGTAATTTTCTTTTTCTTTTCCCACCTTTGTAGGTCCGTACGTCCCTGGTTGCGTAGATGTGATGACAGGGTATACCCCTGAAGGTTGTTTCTTCCGACTCTTCTATCCATCTTCATTGGAAAAAGTATGTACCCCACACCCCACCCACTTTTAAATTTTTTAAAAATATTTCATAAGCTTATTTTCAATTTTTTTTTTCTCTCAGACCAATGAAGATAAGTGGGTTCCATGGGTTGATGATGTAGCTTACACACGAGGATTTGCTTTAATTCTTGGCATCTATTCCTTTATGCTTCGATTGTATGTCTGGCTGGTGACAGGTTTGTATTTTATCATATGCCAAAAATAATTTCAATCAAGAAAGCAAGACTTTAAAGAATATAAAAATTTATTTGAAAAAATTGTAAAGTTAATATTGTTGTTGCTTCCTGCCAGGTACTCCATACATTCCAGCTGTAGAGGCAGCACCATTGAGTAAAAGAAAAGAAAAATTTCCTGTAGTGGTATTTTCCCATGGTCTTGGGGCTTCCAAATTTTTTTACTCAGGTACCTATACTGAGTTGGCTTCCCATGGCTTTATTGTGGCAGCCCTTGAGCACAGAGATAGATCAGCTTGTGCTACTTATTATTATGCATCTCCTCAAGATCACCTGAAGTCCAAACGGACATGGATTAAACATCATAAAATGGGTTTTGGTCCTGAAAATTTCCCAGCCAGAGTAAAGCAGGTATTCAGTTTGATTCCTGTTCCGCAAATATTTCAGTTTTTATTAAATACTGTCCAATTACCTGTTTTATTGAAAAATAAAATTATTCACAGCTGAAAGTACGAGCTACAGAGTGTAGTCGAACCCTCGACCTGCTAGAACAGCTAAATGTAGGACAAGAGATTAAAAACTTGGCGTCTGATGAGTTTTCATTGGAATCATTGAAAGTGAGACAATCTTCTTTTGGTTGTTGACTATTCTAATTTATTCTTTTTTTTAACCCTCCAAGACAGTGTGTGTAATCATGATTTTGTTTTAAGGGTCGCCTCGACTTTGATAAGGCGGTAATGATGGGCCATTCCTTTGGAGGTGCAACTTCTCTACTGACACTTTACAAAGATCCTAGATTCAAGTGAGCTTAAGACTTATTTGTATTTTTTTTACTGTAATACCTTTCAGAATTTTTTCATCCATTCACTTTTTTTTTTTTTAATTTTAGAGTTGGAGTTATTCTGGATTCATGGATGTACACACTAAAAGATGAGCCTGACATACCCGGAAGCATCAAGCAGCCGCTCCTCTTTATCAACACCGAGACATTTCACATTGACAGCAACATTACCACTATGCAAAAGTTTGTCAATGCTCCTCATGATGCAGAAAGAGAGCTTCACACAATCAGGTAAAATCTACTTCCATAGTTTGACCAATGATGTTTTTCCACCTTTTAATAACCATCGCATACTTTATTTCCTGTTAGGATGACAACACATGAAAATCAAACTGACACAGTTTTTATAGTTGGCTATTGGCTAGATTTTTTTATGAAGAAAATTGACCCTGTGTTAGGTTCCAAAATAAACCATGGTCTGATAATGCGCTACCTAAAGCGCCACATTGGCAAGTATCCATTCCATAGTTCCAGTTTCCCTCTTGCAATGCTCCTGCTCAAATATTAATTTTATTCAATTTCTTTTTTCTTGTCCTCTAGGGGTAGATCATTCCATTGATCTAAAAATTCTTGAAAGCCAAAGGCAACTTTATGTTGATGACTTCATTAAGAAGAGCACAAAACCACGTCGTTCCTAAATTATCAGCAGAGCAAGGAAGAAGTTATTTGTTAAATTGTCTACTGTTAATGATTTTGTCAAAGATGTGATATTTCAGCATTTTTATAATAAATATTATGTTTAATTGTTTGAGACATTGGAGTTCTTTAAAAAACAAAAATCAAATCAAGACAATAGTTCCTACTTAATATTTATTGATGATAGTTACAGTTTGACAAAATTACACTGCCTCTATGAGCTTGAAACGGTTGTGCTGTGGCTCAGGAATAACATTTATATACTTCTTATAAATAGGAACATCATCTGGACGTGGTGGCAACAATCTCTGAATCCATGTATGGTTCCAATCTGGTTTGGCTACTTCTGTGGAAATAACTACTTTCCCAGGTTTAATTGCATATATAGTTCCATTCTTTCCAAATCCAGCCTGAGAAAGTGATAAAATACAGTTTTCGCTATTACTGTTAGAATACTTTTACAGTAAATGAAAAAACAATAGACTAAAAGTTGTTCAACTTACGTTCAGCCCTGGGAAAAAACGTAGCGTAAGCTGAGTTGCGAGAGGTGTTCCGGCTGTTACATATACACCATCATTCTTCTTCAGACCTCTGTATTTCTTTTTCCTTGGCTTACCCTGCCATCTTGCACCAGAGCCAGCCTTTTTAGAGGCTAATCGAATCCCACCTAAAGTAAATAAACATACATGACAAAAGTGAGTTGAACTTTTACGGTTCTGATTCATTCTTTACAAACAGCTTAGCTACACACTACCACACACAAAAATCCAACATAGAGAAAGTCAAAGAGAAAATATCACCAATTTTTTACACTGAAGGTATATAGTATAAATTTAAAACAATTGTTTTAATCTCGTGAAAAGGTTCAAGACTACTAGGACATGGATATAACATTACCGTAGTGTTCTAATAACTGCACGGGAAGCGTTGTCAGCTTGGACAAGCTTGGCAGGAAATTCATTGTTCAACTCCCCGACGGAAGGAAGCCTTATAGAGAACAAAAACGAAAGTAACAAGACTTCATCCAAATTTGCAGTTACAAGCCCCCACTGCAGTATGAGCGAGTGTGAGGTTAGAGGTTAGGTTGCCTTTGTGTCGTCTGCAGCTCGTATGAGAAACTCTGTAGTCCGTATGTGTGCTATGAGAATCTTTGGACAACGCTTTTGGGGTTTCGTTTGGGCCAGTGCTATTCGAAACACACGTGTAAGGCAAACTCACAGAATTCTCTGCAACCGTTCACATTGTGACGGTGTGCGGACCATCATGGAGTACTTACAAGAAGAGCAGGTCGAATCCGCCGCAAACAGAATGTAAGAATTTATACTTGTGATTTGTTCCTTTATAACTGTCGCCTCATGACACCTCATGACAGCAGAAGGTTATGGTGGTCTTCATTAGTAGACAAGACAACTTCTTTGCCAATGATAAGATGAATCCGTTTCTGGCGTTTCCAGTAGGATGAGTTAAATACGGCATGCATTCGTTTTCAGATTATGTTGTGAATGTGGTGTGGTGATTGCGCCCAATCCAGCCAATATGTGTGTGGCCTGTCTACGCACTGTGGTGGACATCTCTGAGGGTATACCTAAACAAGGCACTTTACACTTTTGTCGAGGATGTGAAAGGTATTTTATACAAACTTCTTTTTCTCTATCATTCCATAAAGTGAGTGTTTGTGACACATCCTGCTTATTTCAGATACTTGCAGCCACCTACTGAATGGATTCATTGCCCACTCGAGTCTCGTGAATTGCTGTCACTCTGCCTTCGTAAATTGAAAGGCCTTAACAGAGTTAAATTGATAGATGCTGGCTTTGTCTGGACTGAACCTCACTCCAAGAGGATTAAAGTACGTCTTCCCTGTAGATCTCAAATGTAAATCATGTTGTGCAACATTCTGCTGTCAAGTCCTGTATTGACTGTATCCAATTCTATCCAGGTCAAGCTGACTGTTCATGGTGAAGTCATGGGAGGAACAGTTTTGCAACAAGTATTCATCGTTGAATTTGTTGTTGCCCACCAGATGTGTGACGAATGTCACCGCAAAGAAGCTCAGGACTTTTGGCATGCATTGGTTTGTAAAGTCTGATTAGACTGTGATGATATTTGTTTTAGAGTGTCTTTTTAAAATTCCCCATTGTTTCAGGTTCAAGTTAGACAGAAGGCTGAAAATAAGAAAACTTTTCACTATTTGGAACAGCTTATTCTTAAGCACAAGGCTCATGAAAATACACTTGGCATCAAACCCAATGGAGGTAAAATTCTGAAACAACTACTATGTATTCATGAAGATTTTAATTTCTCTGTTTGCAATTTAGAATTGAACATGTGGTTGTTAATTTTTACTTTCAGAGGGCTTGGATTTTTTTTACCACACCGAAGCTCATGCTCGTAAAATGGTAGACTTTCTTGGCACGGTACTGCCTATTAAATATCAACACTCAAAGAAGTTAATATCCCACGACATTCATAGCAACAACTACAACTACAAATTCTCCTTCAGTGTGGAAATTGTACCTCTGTCAAAAGACAGCTTGATTTGTCTTCCTAAGAGCGTAACTCAGCAAAACGGAGGGATAAATCCCCTGGTATTAGTTCATCGAGTCACGAGTACTCTGCATTTTATTGACCCAGCCACAGCTCAGCGTAAGTACCTGTGACAAAACCATTTTTCTTGTGTTCCTTTTTAACTTAAATAAAAAATTTTGCTACTACCATGTGCTTTTTTGAAATATATACTTGAATATGACTTACATTTTTGGTATCCATGTCAGTTGCTGAAATGAATGCAAATGCATATTGGCGCAATCCATTCTCAACCATTTGTGACCCTAAGCAACTGTCTGAATACATTGTGATGGAAATGGAAGTAATAATGGAAAAGGACAGGAAGACATTCCCTGGACAAGGTACCATCTCTAACAAGGTAATGGCACTTCCTTTAATAATGAGAAAGGACTTTTTCTAAGTTAAGGTAAAGTGTATATTTTTTCCTAATTTATTATTATTTTGCAGCATGTTCTTGCTGATGTTTGGCTGGTAAAAGCATCAGAACTAGGCATAAATGAGGATACTATCCATACTCGAACACACCTTGGCCACTTAATCAAGCCAGGAGATTCTGTTATGGCGTAAGCATTATTTTTAATCTTCATAAGAATAGCATTTTTATTTAATTGCCTCTTTATTAAAGTGTGTGTGTGTGTTGTTTTTTTTTTTTGTTTTTTTTTACAGATATTGCTTGGCTGATAGCAATGCAAATGATGAAAATTTTGACAAATTGAAGCAAGAAAAAATACCTGATTTGATCATTGTAAAGAAACATTATCCTGATCGCAGTTCCAAACGGCGCCGCTGGAAGTTGCAGCATTTGGCAGCTGAGGGAGAATTGTTTGAGAAGAACAGGTATTGTGGTGTGCCATGAAGAAATGATTGTTGTTAGACAGTAGTGTATTGATCCCGTGGAAGTACTCAAAGTGACTTTATTTTTAGGGACTACCATGAGTTTTTGGATGATCTGGAAGAAGATCCTTTACTGCGCCAGAATGTCAACATTTACAAGGACCCCAAGAACATCAACATGCCTGTGGATGCGGACGATGCTGACGATCCCGACGCTCCGGGCATCACATTGGACGAAATGCTGGACGATTTACAGATTGAAGATGATCCTATGGATGAAGGGGAGGGTTCTGAGGACATGTCCTAATGACATGAAAAGTGAAAAATGTAAAACGGATACATTACCAACATGTTACAATTTGTTTTGAGTAGGGCATTGTTTAAACTTTCGGAATAAAATCATAATTGTTACAGCAACTCTTGTGTGTGTTCAGTCTAGAAGCCTGCCCATTACTACTGTCAACTACATTCATACCTTGACTTTCAAGATTGACAAGATAGCATTGTGTAGATAAGTTTCGGCACTTGACGTTCGTTGCCACCGAGAGGCGCTACTCCCATGCGAAAGGCCCACACGAAAACAAAAAACAGGTAGCAGTTCCTTTTAGCGTCAGGCCGCCGTCGGGCGGACACGTCCACTAGAAGACCTCGAGGGCGGAGCTGCCTGCACTGCACGGCGACCATGGAGCGTCTCGCCATCGTTGTTGTCCTCAGCGTGGCGCTCTTTGTCTTCGCCTGCTCAGGTTGGAGAAAAGGACGGCTCTGGAACAGCTTACTTTCAGGCGGATTAAATATTGAAAAATAAATCCGGTGACTAAGTTTGGATGAGAGCTGCATGGGTGCCTTGGTGGCTCAGAGTGCAGAGGAGGCTGCCGGCCCGATAATGGACCTGGGTTCGACTCACAGGTGTGGCACTATGCGCACGACCACGCACGTCTTCCCTGCAACGTGCCAAAAGGGTGGACTACCTTCCCGGCGCGAGGCGGCCCAGCCCAAGGAAATCCTGTGGAAACTGGATTCTCCTAAAAGCCAGACAGTTTCCCTCATGGGCTCCCCCTTTTTAGTTTTTAAAAATATTTGTCTGCTATACACCGTTCCAGGTGATGCTAACGATGCCACCAGACCTGGAGTCAATTCATTCGGCCAGCGCACAGAGGGTGAGTCTCCTCGATGGAGCTGCTAATCTTAAGCCTGGGCCTGCGGCGCTTAATCCGCCATCGTTTTGCCTCGAGGGCCAGCAATCCACACTAAATCAGTGCTTCTCTCCATCCTCGCTACCTCGCAGACCTTGCAAGAGTGGCGGCGGAACTGACCGAGGCGTTGGCCGCGGTGGAGGCGACGAGGGCACCGGGGCTGCAGGCGGGCACCGCGAGCAGGGCTGCGGCCGCCGCTGCAGAGGCGCGCCTCGAGCAGGTGATGGAGACCATCCGGCTGCCCGAGCGGATGCGCTTCTTCTCGCTGCAGAGCACGGGGCCCGACGCGCGCACGCCGCGCCTGTGCCGCCTGTGCCACGCCGTGGCCGGGGCCGTGGTCACCGCCATCCGCGTGCAGAACAGGACTGGCCCCGCGCTGGCCAGCATGGTGGACGAGCTCTGCATCAAGGCCAACGTCACGTCACCCCACATCTGCACCGGCATGATCGACAGCAACACGGTGAGCGTTCCAGACGGTCCCAGACCCCAGGTCGTCTGCCGGTTGCCACCGACAGAACGTGACACGCGCCGCGCTCCGCCGCGCCCGGCCCGTTCCCAAGGCGCTGACAGGCAAGCCAAGCCCGTTCCCAAGGCGGTTCGCTCGCGGTGACAGGTAATGCATTTCTCGGGAGCGGCGTCTTCATTATGGTACCGCCGTGGTCAAGTAGTCAAGTGCAAGGCTTATCGAGCCACGCGCGCCCGGCTCCCGGCCCACGCCTTTGTGGCGCGCCGGGCCACTATCTCAAGTGCAAGTGCGAAACGCAAGGGCCTTTTGTGACTGTCCAGCCCATCGTGGAGTACATCGTGAGGAACACGCCCGGCCTGGACAGCGGCGCCATCTGCGGCACCTTCATGCCGGAGTGCGCAGACGGCGTGGCCAGCATGCGGTGGGCGCTGAACAAGGACATGGGCGCCAAGCCGCCCGGCCAGATACGCAGCACCATGCTGGACCTAAAGGTGCGTCCACGGTCTTGGGTTCGAGAGACTGATGCCGAGAGTCGTCTACGTCGCTCTGTCTCTCACGCACTCATTGGCGGCAGACAGCGACGAAAACGACTCTCGCGCTATGTCTGCTGGCCGCCGCGGTTCCCCCCTTGACGTTGGTCCGGCTGCAGGACCCGCCGCCGCCCGTGGAGCCGTACCGCGTGCTGCAGATCACGGACTACCACTGGGACTCGGAGTACAGTCCGGACGGCAACGCCAACTGCGGCGAGCCGACGTGTTGCCGCAAGAACCAGGGCGCGCCGCCAACCCCGGAAGACCGCGCGGGCCGCTGGGGCGACTACCGGAGCTGCGACATCCCCTGGGAGACGGTGGAGGAGTTCATCAAGCACACACAGGAGAAGCTCCACGTAAGGGACTGGGGAGTCAAGGGTTTGGAGCGCCTGGAAGGTAGGCATTGCGCGTGTGGAGCGGCACAGGAGCACGCCGCGTTGCCTACCCCAGACTTCGCAGGCGCTTGGAGGCGCTTGCAGGCGCTGTCCATCCCTTTCTGATTCCGAGGAGACGTCTCGTCGCTCCGTCTCTGCCGCACTTCCGCACGGAGCGAGAGAGACAGAGCGACGAGATCGCTGGGCCGGCGCCACCCTGACCTCCTTGTCGTCGTCCTCCCCAGAACGTGGACCTCATCTACTTCACGGGGGACGTGGTGGACCACGGGGTGTGGGAGACGAGCCGCGAGAAGAACGAGTACCGCATCCGCTACACGTTCCGCGTCATGAAGGAGTCCTTCGGTGACACCCTGATCCTGCCGCTGGTGGGAAACCACGAGCCCCACCCCCTCAACATGTGAGTTCCGCAAGGCCGTCCGGTCCGTCGTCGCCGTGGCCGTCGTTCGCTGACTTGATTTGCTTCGTTCCGTCCCCTTATTGCCCTGACAGCTTCGCGCCAGACTACATCACGGACGACGCCCTCTCGACACGCTGGCTGTACGAGGTGCTGGCCGACGAGTGGATCACTCACTGGCTGCCCGAGGACACGCGCGCCACCATCCTCAAGGGAGGCTACTACACGGTGCTCGTCCGCCCTGGTTTCCGCGTAGTCGCCCTCAACAACATGTACTGCTACACACTCAACTGGTGAGCAAAACCTTTGCAGGCGGCCTGTACTTTTAAGTGTTAAAAGCTATTTATGTTTTGTAAATTTAATTCTAGGTGGGTTTTGCATGATCCTGTGGATCCATCTGGCCAGCTAGCCTGGCTCATCGATGTTCTCTTGGCAGCAGAGGCAGCAAAGGAGAAGGTCCACATTCTTGCTCACATACCGCCTGGCAATGATGACTGCCTTGAGTCCTGGGGTCGTGAGTTTGCTAAAATTGTTGACAGGTAAAGGTGGCAGGCATACCTACATCAAGGTAAAAGTTAATATTTGTTCAAAACATGAAATTTTTGCTTTCAGATTTTCAGCCACCATATCTGCTCAGTTTAATGGTCACACTCATGTTGATGACCTGAGTATATTTTACGATGAATATGGTCGACCCAATAATGTGGCATTTAATGGGGGCTCTTTAACAACTTATGCTGATGTAAATCCAAACTATAAATTGTACTTGGTAGATGGCAATCATGAGCATGCAACATGGGTAGGTCAATGAGACTCAGAAGGACACTTACAAATCATTCATTGAATCGTCCCATAATAGTGCATCTTTTCTCAGAATGTTTTGGATGCGGAGCTCTGGGGATTTAACCTGACAAAAGCCAATGAAAACCCAGACCTAAGGCCGGAGTGGTACCGCATGTACTCTTTCAAGGAAACTTTCAATGTTGAGTCATTGCATCCTTTTCATTTGGATAAGTTTATCGGACGGCTTACTACAGATAACCAACTGTTACAACAATACTACTGGTGAGTATTTTTTATCCAAACTTAAACTACATGTAGTGCGGCACTAAAGAAATTCATTTTTCAGGTACCACATGTTAGACAGTGATGTAGGTCACTTGACAGGATGTGACCAAATATGTGCTGAACGACTCATTTGCAATTCAGTAACCACAATAACAAATGAAATTGACCAATGTGAGAGATATTTCAAAACCTTGAGAGCACAATCCCCTTGAGAGACGTACCACAGTTACTACACTACCACATGGAAAACATAATCTCTGGAAATTGTATTTCAATAAATTTAGACTTTTTAAAACTTACTTGTTTGTACTTATTTTAATAAACTCAAAGGACATGAATTTTTACAATACTACCGCAGACAAGGAATATGAATACACAATGCATGTACTCCTTCCTTCATAGACTTATTTTGAACTAAGAGGCAGCCACGTTACACCTGTTTTATCTATGAATTCTTCTTTACTTAATTTCTCAAGAAGATCAATCTGAAAATGTAAATAAAATTACAAATATTGATGAGTAAATTTGTGTTTTCCAAGAAAAAAATATTTAAATTTTTCAACACCTGTCATATATTTACCTGTTTTCTTATGTGGCGAACTAATAGCTCAAGTTTTTCGGGATCATCGCATTTTTCTTGAAGAAAGCGATACCACAGAGCATTTGCCAAATCAACATCAGAACCAAGAAGTCCAAGGTCATACATTAAAAATGCAGCCATTAATTCTTCATAGAGATCATCAAAACTTTCTCTTAAAGATGATGATGAATATGACTAGGCCAATGAGAGGGAAATATATGTTAGAGGAAAATTTCTAGGTAGAAAAATACCTTACTTACTTTCAATGAAATTACCTCCAGGTTCTTAGCACGTATTTTAGATGCATCCCACATACTTTCTAAAGAAAATCTTTTTAAGTGATCTCCTGCTCCACCTTCATTATTTATACGGACATTGAGCATCCACATGTGTAATTCTATTACCAGAAACCACGAATGAAATGTGTCTGGCATATTAAAGACTGTACAAAGAAGTCAGGAATTAAATATTATTATACAGTAATTAAAATTTTATTTGAGAATATCAACTTAAGGATACACACCTCTGAAATATTCTTTCCAGTCAACTGATTCCACACCACGAAATAGTTCCAAACCTTTCAAACGGTAATACTGAAATTGTTGGAGTAAATGTATGTATACAGTAGGTGTACCACAAAAAGACACAACATATGTATGTTATTAAGAATCAAAAATTCAAACTTACTGATTTAGGTTTTTCTGCCATACCAAAACGCTGTCGTGTTTCCATCATTTTACTGCTCAGCCACCCCTCCTTCTGTGGAGGGGTGGTAGACAGTTTCCTGCTTCGCGAACTTGTGTCAGCTGCAGGCAGCTGGGGTGCTTCCATAAGAAATTGATGACAGTAACATGATCTTAAAGAAGCCTGCTGTTGGACATAACAGAACAGACAACAAAACGGGATCAGTGAATACTGCGCAAAACAAAGGAATGTTTTGGAGGTGTTCAAAACTTAGGATAGGACTAGATAGGACGCTCTTAACCTATTCCTGTCATTTAACATAATTTAATAATAAAATGAAGAAAGGGAGTACGTACCCTTACGATATTTGACAGTTGTCGATGCATGGTCTTCAACACCCAACACTTTTTTAGAGTCGTCAAATGACATAAGTTGAATAATCAGAGTGTTTTCTGAGTAATCTGCGCTTCCCACTAGTTTGGCATAAAACTCGGCTGCTGACTATAGTCCAATCACACTAGCTGGAAGCTCCAGTCTGCGCGAAGGGGAGAGAGGGGGCGGTACATGTTACGCTTAGCAGGCTTTTGTCTGTTTCGAAAGCAACTGACGATCGGCGGTCGCAAGGCAACGTGCTGCCATCTAGCGGAAGAACGTGAAACTACCACGCGCTGATCCGTCCATCTATCTATCTCTCTTGCAGAGCAGAGAAAGAAAAGGTAAAAAAAATGGTGGAAGCTTGATGCGAGATGCTAGCTCGTTTTACCTTCGCCTTAAAATTTCATTTTACCTCTAGAAGATAACTCGTATCGTTTCTGAAAGGTAGCTATGATCTCTGTTAATAATTAGGTATAAATAGTTTGAAAGGAAACTTGGTATATTCGAGTAAAGCTTTTACGCAGGAAGATGGAGTGGTGACCTCCTAACGGGGGTCTGATCATGGCATTGTGTTGAGGGGTCTTTGCTGATGTACCTCCTGAAAGAAAATCTAGGCGATCACTGCTGACCATTCCTAATTGTCCTAAATGAAGGTTGGAGTAAGTACGCACTGCATGAGGCACGGAATATGGAATGGGAGCACAGGGTATGAAACCAGTTCCAGCTGTTGGTCTGTGAACTCCTCATGTCCAATTTTATTCTTTTCTACCTTGCATTAAGAAATTGATGTATGTAATTCATTTTCTGTTCAAATTTTGTTTGCAAGTAAGCCATTTCTGTAATGAGTATGTCACATATCTTCTTTTGTGGAGTACTATCAGCAAAACCATTGTCGACGAAGCATGCACAATGTCTGGCATGCACATAATTCTTAGATTTTAATTTTCTTACCCTGTACGCTTTCAACTATTATTATTAATATCTTCTTCATTTGTGTCAATTCTGATGCCATCAAGTTATTATTTTTATCTTCCTTAAGGTTGTTTTCATGAATTTTTTAACCAATTAACTACTTTGCCATATCTTAACCTTCACCACATAAAAAAAAAATAATTTTTCAATGAAAATTTGCAGGTTGTAATAGTTTTCATTTTAACAAACTTATTACTACCCACAATATGTTTTCTCCATTCTAGCTGATGCAATATGGGTGCCAAAACCGGTGCTAAGGCAGGACGCCCATTAAAACAAAATGGAAAAAACAAAGCCCCGGAGAAAGAAGAAACGCCTGTAGGTCCTGATTATTCAATTCTTCGCAAGCCAGTAGAAATAAGTGTATCAGGACTTAATGAAGTTATCAAAGTTTTTCAAAGTTGCTCCACGGAGGTAAGGCCTAAATTCTTTAATCAATTTGTTTCACGTGAAGATTCTTAGTATTTGCAGCCAAAACTCTCTTTGACATTAAGTGTAGTGTCACTCGTTTTTCAGCCTGCTTCTAAAGCTGTTTTATTTCTTTTTGCAGTTACACCATTTGCTATCTCATGAGTGTGATGTGGTTTATGAATGCAAAGTTTGTAGAAACCTTTTTCGAAGTTTAGCTAATTTTATTTCTCACAAGAGGGTCTATTGCACTCAACTACAGGGAAATACAGGAGGCAATGTATTTAAATCAAACAAAAGGGTAAGAAATTTATTTTACTAACTGTTTCTGTATTTCCCAGTTTCTGTACTAATAATGCCTTCTATCTTGTTATGGATTTTAGGTTCATGATACAACAGTCATTGTGGAACCGGAATCTGTTCGGACCACGAGATCTAGAGAAAACTGGCGCACAAGTGATGCAATAGGTTCAGAGGAAGGTAAAGAAGTTTATGAACCAAAGACAAGGAATGCTCTTGCAGAACCAGCCCCATTTCGCATCACAATCAAGAAAGACCTTACTTCAATTGTTGAGAAACTTATGCAGAAAACCTCATCACAAACTTTGACTGAAACTGTTAGTTTTCCCTTTACTATGTCCATTAACTTATCTTATTGTAAAAAATAATTTGCTACTAATTTAGTTTGCACTTGTCTTATCTTTCTTGTACAATTTTTCTATTTCTCAGGTTGGGCACTTATCATCTTCATCTGAGTTCTATGATGGAGTTAGTAAGGAACTCAAAGATAGACAAAAGGATGCCAAACAACAAACAATCCATCTGGAACCCATAGAAAATACCTCTTTTGGGGTGTTTCAGACTATTGTGCAAACTTCAGGGTCGTCAAATGAACTGATCAAGTCTCAGGTGCAAGATCTACAGCGGATCATGTCAGACACTGAAGCTGTTCTTGGTCCAGATGGTCGAGTAATTGATACTGCTGGATCCCAGAGCAATACTGTATTCCATGAAGATAGGAGAAAAAAGAGTAAAGCTGTAAATGGAGAAGAATATAATGGTCCTCCAGTTACAGCTCCTGAATCAGAAGTAGAGCTTTTCTGCAATTTGTGTAAGTATTTCAGCTATTAGTAAGTGTCAAATGGAAATTCAGAAAATAATTTTAATTAATCTTGTTTTAGGCAAGGAGCACTTTCCTTCTTATAAAACCTTGAATCATCATATGAAGACCCTACATATGACTTACCGTACCTTTTATCCTTGTCCATGTTGCAAGGTTCCTCTTTCTAATTCATGGAGTGTATATCGTCATTTACTGAAAGGTTATTATAGAAAAACAAAAGCAATTTGAGCCTTTTTGTTGAGAATCTATGTTACCATCTCATAAGCCCTTCTCTGTATTCCAGTTCATCGGAAAACCAATGAGCAAATTCGTAAATTGAGAGAGAAGGTTATAAAGAGGTCTTTCAAGAAAGAGGTCTTGCAGAGTGGTGCACAAAAACTTTTAAAATCCAATGTCTCTGAAAATCCACTGTGCCCTTCTGAATTAATTTTTGATGCTAGCCAGAAACCAATTCCTACAAATGATGGGGACAGCTACAAGGTAAGCATATTTTATTCCCCAAAGGTTATAAAAATTGGTGAAGGGGACAATTTTGTTTAATTACTATTTGTAAGGTCAAGATTTGAGTCTGATACTTGTTTCAGCAATGGTTTGGTCATGACGATGATGGCCTGGATATGCAGTGCTGTGGGGGCTGTGGACGGCGTTTTGAAAGGAAAGTTGCTCTCCTGGCACATTTCCAGTCATGCAGTAAAAATTCTGGAAAGCAAAATTCATCTGGTTCTAGTAAAACACCCACACAGTCAGAGAAACCTGCTACTGTGGGTCGTATTTCACTGCCTAATAAGGGAACAGCTTCTCCTAATGTTCTTGGACTGATTTCACCTGTGGCATCATCCCGATCTTCTACTCTGCCTGTACTTCCTTTGCACCTCTCGCATGAAAAACTAGCAGTTCCTACTAAAAAAATTGAAATTCAGATCAGAAGGGATTATGGAAAAGCATCTGTTTCCAATTCGGATGGTCGAACAAGAACTCCATCCACTAGTAGGTCAGAAGATGGAGCAGCTTCTATCAGTAGATCTGATGATGGAACTTCATCTGGAAGCAGTGAGACGGACACAAGTGGAGAGAAAATAATCAACCTTCAGAAGCAGAATGAACAACAGAGTGAGCTGGAATCAAGAGACTTTGAAAGAAGTAGAAGACCATCACTTCCAGGCCAATTGGCTAACATTGAGCAACCTGTTAAACGGCGAGTTGGCCGACCGCGCAAGAACCGTCCACAACTCGTCCAAGTTAATGGGACAAGTGTTTCTATTTCTGATGGTAGTGATGATTCAAATGATGTCAGAGATAAGCAATTAAATTCGACTAGAGCCATTGAAAGAAGGAAAAGGAAAGCTGATAACTCTAACCAAGATGAGAGTGACGAGGAAATCTGGACTAAGACTAAAAAAGATCATAGATTGGCAGCTGACCATAGTGATAAAGATCATGTTGTGAACTCTGTAGATGAGGAGAGTGAAGATGATGTCTTTTCATTAAAGCCTAAAACAGATGATCAGCATAAGCAAAGTGATAAAGATCGTAGATTGTCATCACCATCAAGCAGCAAAAATTTAGTTTGTCGACTCTGCCGGAAAAAGTTTAAGTCATCTATAGATCTACGGCAACACTTAACAGTCATGCACATAAACTACAACCGTTTCCGCTGTCTTATTTGTGATTTTAGATGTTTCTCTAAAGTTGATTGCATTACCCATGCCTTGAGAATGCATCTGGACCCTTGGGAAAAGGAAAAGGCAGCAGGAATGGTTCAGGATATCCAAATGGATGCTGGTGGTAGTACAGATATTCACCCGTACGATGTTCATATTGACAGTGGTGATTCTGAGAGTGCTGCGAGTGATCCTAGTACTCCCTCAGAAACTCCTGAGAAGTCAGAAGACTCCTCTCACGAAGAATTGCCAAATTTGGAGGTAGCAGTTCATGAAGGACACACTCTAGAAGGTGCAAAGGAAATAATTGGTGTAGCTTGACTAAATCCTGATATTTATGTGCCAAATGTTAATCAATTTGAAAGCAAGTGAGTCTTTCAAACTGAGTATTGTGCTTCAGAATTACTGTGTATCACTTGTGCTCATTTAGTTTAAAGTCAACATGTTTTTCCTAATTTTTGATGTGTGATAATGGTGTATAATTTTGAAATTGAATCATTGCAATTTGTTTTGTTATGAAACAATACTACTTAGTAATTCTCATTCATAGTTCTAGCTCCCATTACATTTTATGGTTGTACCAATTGCTTGCTGACCTGACTTTAGGAAAGCTCAATAATAAGTCACCGGTCATGGATTTTCCCAATTTGGAAATAACTTTTATTTTGCTCTGGGGGACCATCACTGAAACAACTTGATTGTGACTAACAGAGCAATAATATCAAGCCTTATCTCGAGAACTTCCTTGTTGAGCTCTTTAGTTATTGGCAAACTGTATTTTAGGAAGCCACGATGAATCCTATTATACATATTTTTCATTCAGGTGTAAGGAACTTGAGTTCCCAAGTTAAAATTTATGGACTTTATCAATTTATCTTCCAGATAACAATGGATGACACAGGGTAATCTAAAAATAACAAGACACAACTTGTAATCCCGAATGATACTCTACTCTAAACAATTCATGAGACTCTTGATGTTTTGTGCTTGTGACTAGAAGTATAAAAAATTGCTACGTTTTGTGCATGATGCTCAGTTAGTTTAATTTACTTAACAGACAACATTGTGACTTATTTTCATATATTTTTGAGCATTCCTTTTTGTCTAATGTCAATGAATTTGAAGCTAACGGGTTTATCTCTTGCACCTTATATATGAACACTTTCCAATGCTATAGGATGCTAGCTAGTGTTCATGCCATTGGGTCACTATAATCTGGCAGGTCTATTTTAGTGCTACTAGATCTGAGTAATGTGCCTTAAACTTTAATCTTTTTAAAAGCAGGAAAACCAACACGTTATTATTACTTATGTGTGATGATGATGGAACTGAAAGGCCTATATTTGCATACAATAGGCTGCTTGATTTTTGTCTTTGATTATCAAACTTGGAACACAGTATTAACAATTGATATAGTTCCTTACTTGGCACCTGACCATCACTTGCTGTTTACAGGTAACTGCCATCTCTTAAAATATGTGTACATATATTTTGCGATCAGTTAGTGTTATTATTTCCTATTTTTCTGTTTTAATTGTGATTTTGAACTTGGTCTTGTGTATAAATCTGTGATTCTTTCTCTTATGTTGGTTTTATCCTTTTTTTCTTTCTTTGTTTTCTTTTCTTTTGCCTTGCTCCTGAGTAAAAGCATGTTCCAAGTATAATCACAAAACTAGGTGCATTACTTGGTGCCATTAACAAATTATTTAACAATTTACTTGCATCTTCTGAGCTGTGCCAAAAATACTTACAACTCCTCCTTGTACAACTTTGAGAGTTGGCTTTCTGAATAAATACTTTAGCGACATAGTCCAACATCCGCAATAAAGTTTCTGTAAGTTTGGTAAACAGTACATCGACATTGGAGCATCTAATAATCAATCTACTTGTTCCCTTTTGCCCTGTACTTGTACATTAATCTGCTATGTAAATATCATTTTCCTATGAATAGTATAAGTAAACCACGTGGAAGGAAGAAATTAACTTTGTACCCAATAAACTTATTCTTGTTCTTCTCTGGTGCACTATTATGATAGTGTTCGGTGACCAAGTTAATTTTTGTGTAAATAAAGATATGTATTTATTTAAATTTTGTTGTGATTTTGAATTCCTCAGTGTTCAGTATTTTCAGCAATATACAAGTGATATGCGGTGCGATCTATTCTCCCAAGTCAGCAGTCCAAAAATTGGCAGGGCCCCCTTTAGTGCCGTCGGTGTGCAGGTCGCGCCAATAGGGGGTGGGTGCACTGGGCCCCCAGCAGGCTGAATATTATGCCTGAGTTCGTCAAATTTGCTCAGTCGTACTTTATCTTAAACATTGTATTTCAGAAATAATATTAAACAAACAGTTTACTTAATCAGACTTCTTAAAGGCAAGATACAACTGAAGTTGTTTGTAAATTGATTCAAACAATTCTTCCCTGCATAATTAAAATACCTACTCATGCGACATATTGATTTTGGCACACTTTGTTAAAATGGAAACGGATCACAAACACATGTCCAAAGTGATAAACAATTAGGTTTGACACTCACAGTCTTTGATCTAGCTATGCATTCTGCCCCAGCCAGTCTTCAACAGCTTTTTTGTGAGTTGCAAGCCATTTGATTCTGTTTTCTACACCCTCAAGTGCTTGCTTTCTGGCAGCAGTACCTGCACCTGCATCAGGGTGCTGTTCGAAGAAACTTTTTAACTGAATAAAGACAAAGAAAAACAGTGAGTTCAGGGCTTTCCACTTTGGTACAGTAGGAAGGTATTCAATAAGTAATAAAGAGAATACTTGCATACCTCTGTCAGTCTTGTCTCAGTGTCAAATTTGCCGGTAACTCTAACAATAAAACGTCCAAAAGTACGGTCATTGAGAGTAAACCTTTTCAGAAGGTAGTCGTACTGGTCTCTATTAAAGAGAAAGATAAAAAAAACTTGGTAATTGTGAAAGAAACAAAATCACACAAAATAAGTTGATAGTGTTTTACCTGTAGAAATCCCACACCAGCTGTTCACCCTTGGGATTGTTGGCAATGTATCCCAAAACTGTGAAATAATCTTGAGATCTTATAATACTTTCATCCTTGGCAATATCTAAATACCTGAAAAGTTTTGAAATGTGTTGAACATCCAGATGAAATAAACAGACAGTCTAAACACAAATGGTTACTAATGAAGTTTTATGACGCTTACTTCTTAAGGCTCTCTACATTAGGAGTAGCTGCCAAGGCTGCCATTAACTTGGCTCTTTCTTGGGTGTTTGTTTCTTTCTTGAATTTTGTTTCAAACAGATTATTCCATTGGTCTACATTGTCTGATGCGCCCAAACCTAGGGGGAAGAAAAAAAATATTATCTTCTATTTAAAAAAAAAAGAATTTCTAGAATAAAAAATATTCTTTTATTATAATTTTTTTCAGAAAGGGCTGGCTGCTGAAACATACCGTATCTGTATACTACAGAACGAATGTCAGGATCTGGTTTGGGACCCCCATTCAGCCAGCTGCTGAAGAGACTGTTTGCTTGACTCAACGCCTGTGCATCATCGAGGGAGCAGACCAATTCAAGAACAAGAGTCCTCAAGCGCCTGAAATAGAGAAACTATGTTATTTTTTTTTTTTAAATCAAACTATGATTGCATGCATAAATGAAGAAAAGGGGTCAATTTGAGCTTTCTTCCTAAACAAAAAACAATCTACTCACCTTGTTAAATGACCATCACTTGCACCAGCAGACCAAGTGAGACTTGATACAATAGGTTTAAGCAGACTTATAGCATATTTCTGTGAAGAAAGACAATTGAAAATAATAATTTGTTTCAATAAAATGAAACTTAAAAAGAAATTAAGGATTTTCACCTTTAAAGGTTCAGACTGTGGAAGACGCTGGAGTAAAGTTGCAATGGCCGTGCCTGCAGCATCCCACGGAACTAGCTCTTTTTCGTTAACAAGATACTTCGTCAAGTCAAGGGCTCTTCCATAAGTGATTTGTTGGGCATCAGCCAAACTGAAGGCATCACTTATCAAGCCAGCACGGTCAATTGCATCTATTTGCTAAACAAACAAATGCCCAAGTCAAAACAGGTTTTGGTCCAAAATGGAGCACTGGCAAAGTAAAATATAAATAATCATACTGTTGCATCTTGAGTAAGAGCACCAATAAGAGCAGACCACCCAGCATCATCATAATTAGTACGGAAGTAGCTGGTTTGATGGTGATTGATTTTTATCCATTGCACTGAAGATTCAACTGTAATGTCAACTGAATGGAAAGAAAGACGTCATTAACCATTTAATTGGCATTTTAAATTGGACACACACGATTATTACCAACCACATGTAACCTTATCTTACGTTTTTCTTGTGTTGAATCCAGCCAGTACAACTCATATGACTTGCTGACAGATGTTGCAATGAAGATTGGAATTTCCCACTTGTATCTGAAAAATAAAAATAAAAAGTGAACAAATTGGTACCCATAGTATCGTGACATTCACAAAATATGAAGCATACCCATATTTAGACGTTGATGGATCGTATGTTGCCTCTGGATTAGATAGGAAACGCTTTTGTGAGAGGACATATTTTCCCGGACCAGTGGTGGTAACAGTCACAACTGGGAAGCCCATTTGCCTTGTCCATGTGTCCATTACCTTGGCAACATCTACATTTGGTGGGGCATAGTCTTGCAGAGACCGCCAAAGATCAGCAGTCTCAGCATTTCTGTACTGATGCGTATTAAGGTATGTGTGCAATCCCTTGGCAAATTTGTCCTCTCCCATAAAAGCTTCCAACATTACTATGACAGATGAGCCCTGAATCAAACACATATTTGTTACTCATAAAACTTTTTAAAAAACACAATCAAAAAGGAAAATTTAAGTATCTAGTTGTTACCTTGTCATAAGAAATTGTATCAAAAATCTCTGTTATTTGATCAGGACTGGATACCTCTTGAAGAACTGGATGAGAACTGAGTTCAGAGTCAAGTTTAAGAATTGATAACATAGTATCAACAATAAACTGATTGTTCTGTTTTCAGGAAATAAAGTTTAAACAGTTAGAAAAAATAATTAAGGTGTTCTTATAGTTACCCTAAATCAATGCAAACACTTACATAATCCCAATCAGGGTGCATGTGGCTCAGAGATTTCTGTGCCATGAATGTGGCAAAGCCTTCATTTAACCACAAGTCAGTCCACCACTTCATTGTCACTACAAGAAATCAAAGCAGCACCGAACAAATCAAACAATAAGAAATAAAGAACATCGTGGGAGAATGTGTGGTGCAAGAACACAAGAGGTGTTAAAATAAATATTTACATACCTAGATTTCCAAACCACATGTGAGCGAGTTCATGAGCAACTGTCTCTGAAATGGCTTCTTGATTTCCCTTAGAGTTTTCAACGGGGTCGAAAAGAACAGATGTTTCACGGAATGTTATGAGTCCCCAATTTTCCATGGCACCAGATACAAAGTCAGGAATTGCAATTAAATCTGTGAGTTGAGAAAATAATACAAAGGGGTCAAGGAAATTTCTACTTAGATGCTAATTTGGTGTTTCAAAATATACAATGAGATTCCAGGAATACATACCAACTTTTGGCATAGGATATGGGATTTTAAAATAGTCGGCATAAAAATTGACAGCATAATAGGCGACATTCAAGGCCTCCTTAGTATTATCAATTTGTTCATGACGGGCATATATATTGACAGGTTTTCCTGATGACATGGTCTTGTTTTCTTGGTCTTTTTCAAAATCACACACTATGAAAGCGGCAAGATATGATGACATTTTCACAGTTTCTGTAAACTCCACTGTAGTTAAATTAGTGGCAGTATCAGTGACTTGCCCCTGAAAGAAAACAGGAAACGCTATGATAAGAAAATCGTCAAATCGACAAAACAAAGTAACGAACATTTGAAAACATTGACATACCAGGACATCGCTGTTTGAGAGCGCAATGTACTCTTGCGATGCCGGCTTCACAAGCCGCACCTTGTAGGACGCCTTCATGGCGGGCTCGTCGAAGCAAGGGAATGCCAGGCGAGCATACGTCGGCTCAAACTTGGTAGTGGCAATGTATCTGTCCAGGTGAACAAAACCAATCAAAGGTCAGTACTAGGAAACAAATGACTACATTATATAAAGTAATGATACACAGGGTGTGACATGAAAGCAGCTCTCCTTCAGAAACAACCCCTTTGCCGACATTGCCCCTTCCGACACTACCGCTCCCACAATACAATGCCTCGCTTCTAGAGCGCTAGTGCTCCACTCCCCGAACCTGGTCGTGTTGTCGGTGGACTTGTACGCGAAGCGAAACAGGCCACGGCCCTCCGTCAGCAGTGAGCCGGTGAAGGAAATGTGCAGGTCGTAGACGCCCGGCACCAGCAGGCAGTCGAGGCGGACCACCAGGAACTGGGTGGCCGCCCACAACACCGTCTCGTTCACTTTGAGGCCGCCGGGCGCGCGCGAGCACCAGTCCGGTCCCGTCCCTGGGGTCTCGGAGGGCTGGGCAGCCTGGGCAGCCTGGACAGCCTGGGCAGCCTCGGCCTCGGCGGTGGCGTTGGGGCGCACCAAAGCCAGGGTCACCTCGTTGATGTACATGTGGAGCGCGTGCAGCCAGACGTCCCTGCGCGGCGCCAGCACCCTCATCGTGATGCTCACTTTGCCGGACAGCGTGCCCGCCTTGAGGTCGGGCTGCAGCACCAAGTCGTAGCGGTCGGGCAGCACGTCCTCGGCCAGGCGCGGCACGCGGCGCCACGCCTCGACGCCGGCCTCGGACTTGGCGGGGCTCAGCACCACCGCCTCCACTTCCAGCGGCCGGAGCGGGTCCGAGATGATCTCCGTCTCCTCAAGAGGCTCTGCGTTGGGCGAGCGTTCTGGCGGCGCGGTCGGGGCGCTCGTCGACCAGGCCGTCGTGGAGGTGGTGTCCGTGGGGGCTGGCGCCGCGGCGGCCGTCGGCGAAGTGCTCGGCGCGGCGGTGGAGGCCTCGGCGACTGAGGCGTTAGCAGCCACGGCGCGTTCATAGTCCAAGATGATCCTGGCCGCCCTGAGGCGCTGGCCATGCCGAAGCAGCCAAGCCACCTTCTCCTCCAACGAGGCCCCCGTCACGTTGAGTCCAGCGCGGACGCGCTCCATGGCCCACATCTCGTGGCCCTCCACCGCGCGGAGCTGCTCGTCGAGGTCCTTGCCCAGGTCCACCAGCCCGGGGCGCTCGTCGGGGAACAGCTTCAACTGGTGGTGCAGCAGCAGCAGCGTCGCGAGCAAGCAGGCCGTCACCACGGCCAGCACCGTGCAGAACCCCACGAGGCACGGCGTCAGCAGCCCCCGCCCCTTGCCGCGGCCGGAGCCGCCAGAGGCGTTGAGCAGCACCGAGCGCCGCTGTCGGAAGTGCGGCGCCATGGCCTAGCCTGGCCGAGCCTGGCCGAGCCTGGCCTAGCGGCCGAGCCCCGCGGAAACCTGCAAGAAGGGCCGCGAGTCTGCAGACCACCGCGAGCGACCGCGAGGCGCGCCGAAAGGCCGAACCTGCCGCCGCCGGACTGGGCTTCCCTGGCGCCGCGCAGCTCCACGCCGCGCGACACGGCACTGGGCTTTCATTTCTGCATTAATTCGTCCACTTAAAGGCGTCGGGCCGGGCGTCGCCTGGGGCCCCGCGGCGCGGGCGGCGCGGGGCGGCGGCAGGGGGACTCCAGACAACGACGTCCGCGACATTCCGGCAAAGAGGAGGCGCCTCCCGGCCGAACTAGTTCCCGAGGCAGTTCTCGCGCTCTGATTTACATCCAGCAGTACAGTCGGTTCAAAGAGCAACCCCCCCCCCCCCCGGGCATTCCATCGGCGCCGAGGCGGCCCCGCGGTGCAGCACGCGTTGGTGCTACTTGACTACGCGGCTACGCGGCTACGCGCGCAGCGACATGATGAGTCACTTGACGAGGAACAGCGCAAGGAGCTATCAACGCGGGCCAGCGCCGTCGACCCCGCGACATGGAGAACCAATGGCAGAAATGTTGGAAACGGCGACACAAGACAGAAACCTCCGAAACACACCAGCAGACTTTGGCAATCGAATCACTCAACAACGGCGACGGTCTTCACCATGGCCGCGACCAAGTTCCGGTTCCGGACGGCGGAGGACGCGCGTGGCCGCAGCATCCCACGGCCAGTCCAGCCGTGCGCGAAAAACGGGCTGCCGCTTTCGACGCGCGGCGCGGCGAAGCAGCCTTGATGCGGTGCAGCGCGAAGCAACGCGACGCAACGCGACGCAACGCGACGCAACGCGTGTCATGCGACTGGGCGCCTCCAAGCGCGCACGTTACGGCCCGGTGGCGCCACAGCGCCCGCGGCGACACGGGGCACGCGGCACGCGGCACGCGCGGGGTGATGCGGGGCGTCGCGTTCCGCGACGGGCGGGGCGCGGGGCGTCGCGGCGAAGGAGGCTGTCAAGCTCGACCCGTCCCGTGACCCGTCCCGACTCGACGCCGACTGAAGAGAAGAGAGATATCCTCTCCTCCAGGCTGCGTGACCCGCGCCCCGCGCCCTGCCCGCCCTCAGCCCTGCCTGCCCCTCCGTGACGTCACGTCACAAGACACGCCATGCCTCATGCTTTTCCAGCAATAGCACTCGCACTCACTCACTCACTCGCACTCACGCGGCGCGGCGGGATGGCGACGCCCACGACGCCGTGGTCATATCGCCTCGTCAGGCGGCGGGCCGACGGCAGGCGCAGGCCTGGGCGGGGTGGGCGGGGCGGGACGGAGGGAAGGCGTCGGCCGGGCCGCGCCGGGCGTCGTCGCCGGGGTCAGCGCCGCGGCGGTGCGCGGCGCGGCGGCCGTGCGGTGGCGCCGGGGAAGCGCAAGGCTTGCCGTCCTTGCCGCCAGGTCGCGAGTCAAGGGACCAAGGAAGGGAGGACGTGCACGCCCTGAGCCGGGCGGTGGGGCGAGGAGGGTACTGGATCGACTCCCTGAGGGGAACCGCGATGGACTTGGGTAGAGCTAGTCCTGATAGGTGGACCTACCAGGGCCGAGGAGACGCGTACGACGCGACGCCCGGCCGGCCGGCGTGCCGTCGTCCTCGTCCTCGAGTGAGTTCGCACCCACTTTAATTGGCCTCATCAAGCTTTCGTGCGTTGTTCCAAAGGCCAGAGCCATGAGTTGCTGACCCCCCACCGGACAGTACACCATGGCGTGGCGGCTTGGCGCTGCGTGCGGGCGGTGCGGGTATGAGGAGGGGCAGGGGGAGGGGGAGGGGGAGAGCTGTCTATCACTGTTGCAACAAGTGGGGGAGTGGATGCACTGCTAATGTCAAATAAAACTAACCACAGTGAAACTGACGAGTCAATTTTCTACCTTCAAGTGTTACCCAGCCCATCTTTGACAACGCCCAACCAAAAGAAAAAAAACCTATTTCCTTTACGCATACAACGCATTCATGGGGAGACGGGATAAAAAAATAACACTAAAGAGGCTACTCACCGTGTTTGACCTTCAGCATTGGTGTGGGTGCTGCGGTAAAAGCCCACAATGCCTCTGGTAAGGCTCCCGGAGAACTCCACAGTGAACTTGTAGGTGCCCCGAGGAATGGAGCCGCTAGAGGGCTGAATGACCCACCACTCATTTTTGGGTACTTCCACAGGCGCTTTCAGGGAAACTGATCCAGCAGAATTTTGTAGGGAAACTGAAGAAACGTCCAGCCACTTGGCATGGATAACAAACCAGGTGCGATCCTCTTGCAGTTCAATTTCTGCTTCGACAGTTCCTGGAAATTAAACAGAGGCCCTTCTCAATAACATGAAAGTTGAAACTCATCCAACAGCACAATACAAATGTTATCTTGGGTATGCACAGAGTTGAGGACTATCTACAAAGTAAGCCATGAGATAAAGATAAGCAACACCACAGAAAGTGCACTAGCCGTAAAAAAAATTACGCCTAATCTCATTTACATGATGCTAATCATGTGATGCTATAAATTGAATTAACACTGATTTTGCAATGCAATCATATAGGAAATTGTGAACAGTAGAGTGCAGAGTCAGCATTACAAACAATGTAAGATTTATCACTACTGCATAGACTTTTCTCAGTAGTTGTATGTCTGATAACTAATAACATAATGCCCAGTGTTATGGATGGATACAACCAGTACTGGGATGTCTGCATGTAAACAAACAATCCAGCTTTCAATCAATGTAACAAGCCGCATTTCAAGACCCACGCTACTCAAAGAGTCGTCTGGCCATTCATTTCGCTCGCAAAGTACAAATTCAAGCAACATTACACTCCAGTAACACCACAGCCAGCCCATTGACCGTCAATGACAGTCAAGTCCTGGGCAACATAACCCCAACAACAACAGCTGGGCGTCCTGGCCGGCGGCCCCAGAGAACCTCGGCGACGGCGTCCGCGACTTACCGGTGAACGTGCCGGCATCCAGGTTGGGGTGCAGGCGGATGTCGTACCGGCTGGGCACCACGGTGCTCGGCAGCCTGTTCTGGCTGACCCAGGGCTCGGTGGAGTCGGCGCTGCCTCCGTTGTTCATGGTGAGGACGACGGCGAGGATGATGGCGATGCCTACCAGCACAGCGGCCGCCACTGACGCCAGCTTGCAGCGAGTGGAGTACGCCATCCTTCTCGCTCGCACTCGCGCGGTTCCCACTCGAGCTCTGTCTCTCTCGCACTCCGCCGCGCGGCGCAGTGGGTATCGGCGGCGGCAGGTACCGGCGAACCGGCAGGGAGTATTGGCGTCACGGCCGGCAGACCGCCGTCCCGATACTCGAGGAAGTGCGGCAGACTTTGGGTTGCTGGTGGCTGGTGGTCCTGCTGGCCCGTCGCTCACAGCGTGCGAGCAGCAGACGACGACGTCAACCTAAATCGGGGCAGGCCTAAGTTTAGTGCGTGGTAAACCGTGCAACGCGACGCGCACCGAAAGCGGCGGCGATACTCCGCGCCCCGACACGAGAGTCTGCGCGGCGCGGGGTATGTCGGCGAGGTGACTCGGCGCTGACGAGGCCGCCGTCGTCGCCCGTGTAATCCCGGTGATCTGTGCAGATCGCGTATCGCACTATCTCGGCCAGGCAGGCTAGCCAGGCGACCTACTGCCCATAAAGCGATCGCTGGCGGCTCTACACAACCGGTGGCTTCAATGGCGCCGAGAGGCCAAAAGGCACTGTGATGTCATTTTACGGTTACCGCCTCCAAGACCGCCACCCCAAGCTGAGGCCCGTGACACTGGCGTGACGTGTCGCGCACGCCGCCGCTATCTATCTCCCCGTGATCCCCCGGTAATCCGCGTCCATCGCAGCGGACCGTCTAGACTGTTAAACTAAGCCCCGCGCGTCCTCGCCTCCTCGGTGCGGCAATTACACTGGACTTCCCCGGCGCGTGCCGCCAGCGCAGCGCCAGCACAGCGCCAGCGCCGCGGCGTTTCCGAACTCGACGACGTTGAACCGGACGATCCGCGTCGCGCCGCGGTGGCCGGGGAAACTGGCCGCATGCCGGACCCGTCGCCTGTCCGCGATGTGAAAGTCCAAGTCCTCATCGACGCGACGCGCGGCGCTGCGGCCAATGACGCCCGCTCGACCGCGTGTGACACCGTGACACCCGCGTGACGTGACGAGACGTAACATGACGTGACGCGGGCAGGGCGGGCAGGGCGGACAGGGCAGACGCCCTGAGCCTGCGCTCCAGCCAACTCTAGCAGCCCTTCGACGTGGCCTCAGGCACCTCGGGGCGTGACACGGCGTGACCGCCGCGCGGCTTCGCCCTGTCTGCTGCAGCGTTGCAGTCTACGTAGTAGCGTCTCTAGTGTAGACCCACCTGCGTCCAGGCCCAGAAGGTCCAGAAGGTGCAGGTGCTGCGTGCGGCCCCTCGAGGCACTCCGGGGGAACTCCTGGCGCCGAGTGGCGGCAACGGCAAGGCCGACGCGCTGCTGCCCGCGGCCCGTCTGTCCGTCCGTGCGCCTCGAGTGGCTCGCGTCGCGGGAGTCGCGGGGCTTTGATCCCCTCCGCGCCATGCCGCCGGTTTTGAATGCCCGGGATGGATTCCTTTCCACGCTCCCGCCACGCTGGTGGGGCGTAGGGCCAGCGCAGCGTTTCCAAACATGCGTCGTCTCTCTGTCTCTCTCGCACCCCTACGCGACGCTCCATGAGTGCGAGCGAGAGAGACGGACCGACGGAAGGACTGTTCGGAATAAAGCCCGCGTAGGCGCGGCCGCGCGGCCAGGTGCACGTGCTGCATGTGCCGTCGGCGACCGTCGGCGACCGTCGGCCGGCACCGTGACCGACTCTTTCCACTCTGTCACGGCCAAGCAATTCGTGTCTCGTGTACGAAGCTCCCTTGTTCAGTTGTCACCAAATAAAAGTTACAAAAAATAGAGAAGCAGCTGCTTGTTCCCACCTAAAATAATCGAGATTCTATATTGTATGGGATCGTTGGGGGGAATGTTGGTCAGTAAGTAAATGAGCCGAGGGTTCTAGATGATTGAGCAATGTTTTAATATTTACATTCATCTTTAAAAAAAATTGAGCACTACATTGTCATTAGAATTATTCATGAGTTAACAAGGAGACAATATACAGAAATATTTATATACAATACGTATATAATAACAACACAATATCACTATATAAAATACTGATTTGGTATCTTGATTGTACTATCTGACAATAACACCTCAAGCTGTGTCAGTCTTGTAATACATACTAATAATTAAAAATAGTCACGCCCACAGCCCCTGCTGTCGGGCCGATGCGTGCTCTGCTTTTCACCAAATCAATACAGGAAAAGAGCACACGATGAGATCTCGAGGTACAGTACAGAGAGAGCGGAATGTTTTGAGTTAAAAATTAAAATTACATATCCTCAAAATTTGATGGGATTAAAATTATAAAACTAATAAATCTTAAAGTCATTAATATTTACGAATGAGAGGTTTTGGTCACTGGACGCGCATCCTGGCTGGTATGCCGAGTCCTAAAATCACAACCCGTTCGAATCTGCCGCAGTCGTGAGGAGGAAGAGAGACTAGAAAATGCTCCCTCCGCGGGCTCAGAGGGAGAAGAGTCGTCACTAGGGGTGGCGGCGCTGCGGAGTCCTGGAGAGTGGCGAGGTTGACACGGGCGCGGGCCCGCGGGCGCAGAGGCGCTGCTCGAACGGACTCGAAGTAGGTCCTAAACATGGACCTAGCCGCAGCAGGCTTCCCTCCGCGCCCCCATGGCAAGGGGCTCTCCCTGACGGCACGCCGGGCTGGCAGGCGTCAGGCAGGCTAGCCGCAGAAGTGCTCCTTGACGGTCTCCACGCAGGTCTTGCACTTGACTTGGCAGCACCACTGGAAGCTGCACTGGCAGTGGCGCGACACCTGTCGGGTCTGGCGCCGCACGCGGTGCCCGCACGCGCGGCACAGCTCCTTGCACGACCGCCGCTCCGCGCGCCCCACGCCCTCGCCGCGGTTCCGCGAGCAGGTGCGGCCCTTGGTGCCGGTCCATCCTGGGGGTAGAAAAAGGAGGCTCAAAACCGAGGTCCACGCCGCGGGGCTCATCAAGGAGTGCTTGTAAGCGGCTAGGCGCATCTCCAACTCACCGGTCGTGTTGTTGATCTTGCAGTAGTCGGGCGACTCCTCCAGGAAGACCAGCTTCTCGGCGGGCACGGAGGGGGCGGTGCGGTCGGCGCTGCGCTGCACCAGCCCGGACGCCGAGTTGCCCAGCACCAGCTTGCCGTGGCCGGACTCGAAGTCGATGCGCACGGCGTGGTCGTAGTGGCGGCGCAGCGTGGCGGCCACGCGGGCGAAGCTGGGCACGGCCATCCAGCACGTCTGCAGCGAGCACGAGCCGGACACGCCGTGGCACTTGCAGTGCTTCTGCAGGGACTCGCGCACGGCCTGGACAACAACAAACGGGGGCATTAGGCTCGGAAAGCCGAAACAACGGAAAGGCACCTCCTCGGCTGATGTATGCAACAGGGGCAAGGAACTTACCAGGCGGCCGGCACGGTTGTTGTGCAGCGAGCTGTACGCCCAGGCGTCGTTGCCCCTCTTCACCAAGAAGTCCAGGAACTTGGCGGCCACCTGCTCGCCGTACGCGACGTGGTCACTGCAGCCCGACCACACCCACTTTTTCTTGTCTGCGAGGAAGAGCAGGAAGGTTAGCAGGGAAGTACCAGCGCTGGCCGCGATGAGCCGGGGGGGAGAAAAGGCGGCACCGCTGGGGATTCGAACCTAGGTCGCAGAGTACTTACTGTGCGAGACGCCGTTCACGTCGTTCTTGTCGCCGTCCTGGTCCGAGGTGGAGGCCGCCGTGGACCTCCGGGAGTGCGGGTTGTTGGTCAGCACTTGCTGGGCGGTCTTGAGGTCGGCCAGGATGGGGTCGTCGCCGTCCGTCTCGCCCATGGCGGACCCCGTGGCGGGCCCGGTGGGCATGCGGCAGCCGCAGTCCGGGAGGTTGCCGGCGGAGCAGGAGCGCGTCACGGCGTGCACCACGCCGGCGGACGTGGCGGCCAACACGAAGGCCGTCTCCTGGTTGGCCGGCTTCAAGCCTCTTCTGGAACAAAACAGCCAACGTTGTCAACTCTGCGAGCTCGGCCAGGGAAGTAGCAGCGCCGCCGGGCAGCGCGCGACAGGCAGCGCGCGCGAGGCGGATGGGCTGCCTACCCGCGCGCCGCGCGCCGCTTGGCAAGCCACAACACCGAACACCGCGCCGGGGTCAGCGACTCTGCAGGTCTGGTCCTGCAAATGTCGCTCCAGAGGGTGAGAAAAAGTGGGGCCGATGAGTCAGCGCGCAGAGCCTGGGGCCCTGGGCAGGCCCTGGGCAGGCCCTGGGCGGCAAGGTGCTAAAAGGGAAGCCGAATGGACCGACCGGGCGGGCAGGGCGGCAGGGCAGGGCTGGGGCGCAGTGCGGGCGGCGGCACCGAGCACGGCGCCTACCTGCACCTGCACCCACGGCGGTGCCCTGGCGGTGCCCAATGCCCATCCGGCCATATAAATCGGTGAGAAAGGCCTAGAGCCGAGCGGAGCAAGCGGAGCGCACACCGGAGCGAGCCGCGCCGGCACAAAGCGACTGGCCGGGCGGGCCGAGCCGAGCCGGCGCATGCCTGCGGCAGTAAACCAGTAAACGCGCCGGATTGTAAAGGTATCAACTTTCTTCGCAGGCGGTACGGCTCAGTTCGGCGGGGTTCCTGCCAACGCCAACGCTCGTCAACGCCCCGGCCGCGACACCTTGGCACTTGTGCAGTGTACTTGCGGCGGGGTGTGAGACGCGCGCGGTTCGCCTCCCGGCGGCGGCGGCGGCGAGAGAGGAGGAAAGGCCTAGGAATGCGGCACGGGCGGCACGGCTGCACTATCAATCGGTGCGGCGGCCAGCGGAAGTGGAAGGAGAACAAAACGGCCGTCTTTATAATAATAATATTACCCCAATGTGGCGCCCATGGTGCTGGGTGCCGGGCCGCCGGGCCGGGCGGCACCCAGTCGGACCGGGTGGACCCTCACCGACAGATTCTCACCTCACGTGCCTTTATGGCGGGCCCGCCCCGGCCCGCCCCCCGCCTAGCGCGCCCGGTACGGACGGCAGGGGCCCCAGAGGGGGCAGGGGGGCCTCAGAGGGGGCAGGTGGGGGAGGGCCGGCGCGGCGCGGTGCTTCAAAGGGCGGCCAGGGCCCCGGTCGGGGCCCAGGGGCGGCAGGAGGGCGGCAGCGAGCCTGTGATCGAGGTCGGCTTCAGCGGCAGCGCGACGACGCCCGCCCCGCCACACCTCGCCACCGCACCGCGCCCCGCCACGCCCACCACTCCCCGCAGCCCCCTCCGGGGCAGCCGCCCGTCTCGCCGTACCGCCCGGCCAGCCTAAAGGCCCTCCGCTGCGTTCCGCCGCGTTCCCACGATAGCTTCGCGAATCATTCACATTTTGCAACAACGCGCAGACCCAGACCCCAGAGGCATTCGAACGGCCGTTCAAGTTCATTGCAAGTTCGGCAGTGAGGAGGCGGGTGGGAAGCCGCGTGAGCTGCGCGATGACGCCCTCGAAGGTGGCGCGCGGCTTACAGCATTCATTCACGGGGGCTTCGCGATAAGAGCTAAGCGTTTAGCTTAGTTAGGCTCGGCCGCAACGCGAGATATCGAGGAAAGAGAAGGACACCCACCTGGAGAAGGCGCTCTTGGGACAGTTCCAGCGGTCCCACTTGAACTGCTCCTGACAGTGGTCCAGGGCGAGCTGCGCCCCCGCGGCAAGGTGCTCGTTCAGCGCCGACGTGGCCCACGAGTTCTCGCCGCTGAACATACTGTTAATGTTGGACGACCTGTGGGGGAAGAAAAGCGTTTATTTGTAATGTTTCTTTCTTTTTTCAGGATGTCGCGGCTCAACTCTTTCATCATTTGGTCCATCATCAGTCCATGCGTGTCCTGCGCGGGGCGGGGGCCTCTAGGCGGGCTCTAGGCGGCACCGAGGGAGGATTATGTGGGGATTACGCGGAGCAGGCGAGGCAGCGAGCCGTTTTAGAGGTCTCGGCCACGCCAGACTACGCCAGACCGCCCCGTGGAGACCGTCATCGAGGTCCTCTCCGCGGTCTCATCACTACGTATCGCTCCCTTTCCCATTTTCCCCGGATTGCATTTCGAAAAGCCGACAACAATGTCCGACGACATCTTTTAAAACATTGTGAAAAACATTTCCAATTATTTTTTATTTTTTTGGGGTAAACGTTGGCAGCTACGTGACAGTCGGTATAGGGAAGCGCCGTTCGTGCAAATGACCACATATGAATCTCACGTAAAAATGTTACATTCTAAAACATGACCCGGAAATTATATGTAGACAGCACTGTCCCTTTTTTCACACCGCCACGGATACATGTCTGCCTCTCGGAGCAGATCGCATCGCGAATCTTAGCGCGCAAAATCAACACCGTCTGCTGTGGGAGGCACTCGACGTACTCGAAGAGGTGCACCGTACTCACCAGAAACTGGGCGTCGTCGCCGAGTCGGCCGGGGAGCAGAGCGAGGGGACGAGGCTGGCCGTCAACACGGCCAGCAGGACCAGCATCGCCACCATTGCGATACACTTGACTGCACTCAGCTAATGTGGCAGCCAGGTAAAGTGTCCGAAGCACTCGCACTCTCGGCGAGGTGGCGAGAAACAACACCAACAGCACACACACGCGCGCACACACTCGCAACTTGTTGAACGGCACACACACACAAGCACTACACTTTGACAGGTGGTCGACTCTCTTCTCGTCTGCAGCGCTGCGGAGCGCGGAGCGGAGGCTGACCGGAGCGGAGCGGAGCGGGCAACTCGGCACGTTCTCTCTCGGCGAGCAGCAAACCACGAATGAAGAGGGTAGGGTCCTCGCCGTCCTCGCTGGACATCTCAATGATGCTCAGGCGCCTGGAGGGCTGGCTGGCTGGCTGCCTGGCCGCTCGGGGTGGCTCGCCCCACTCCACCCCCCACCAGCTCCGCGAGGCCGGTGCGGGGGGAGGCGGGGGCCCGCGCACCCCGCCGCCCCTCCCCCCTGCCCCGGATCACTCCGGGGTTACCTGTCCATTCTCAAAATGAGAGCCAATCCGTGACGGTCGGGCTGCATAGGGCTGCACGGCCGCCGCCGCAGCGCAGCCATCACTGTGCTACTGCCGCAGCAGCCTCCGCCACCCTTCCGGTGGCCGGGGGCGCGGGGCGCGGGGGGCAGGTAGACCCGCAGTTGGCCAGCATCATTTTCTCACCAATGCCTTCGCGCATCGAAACCGTAACGAGATACCACATTTCCGCGCGGCCTGCAGGCTGATCCAGAAACGGTGGTTCATCGCCCTGTCTCTCTCGCACTCGTGGGGCGTACGGTAGGGGTGCGAGAGAGACAGAGCACCATTTCGGCATCCAGCGTGTTGGCGCGGCGGAGCAAAAAGGCGCCTTATCGCGCGGCGATCGAGCTGCTGCACGGGGAGCACGGGGAGGAAAGAGAGCGTCGTCCTCGCCATCATCGCCGTCCTCGCGCACCCCTGGCCGGCCAGGGCGGCAAGGACGCCGCCCGCGCGGGCAAGGGCCTCGCGGAGAGCAGGGTGAGCGGGGCATGGATCGGGACCCTTCCTGGACCCCCCCCCCCCCCCCAAAGCCCCCGAAACGCCACCCCCGCACGGCGAGGCGAGGCGGCGAGCCTTCGTGTCGCCCCGCGTGCAAGTCTCCGCGTGCTCGGCCGCCCAGCAGCCGTGAACGCCACAACGCCACAACGCCTCGCGCACAGCATCCGCCCGCCCCGGCCCGCCCTGACTCCGTCGTCCGCCTCCGTCCGTCTCCGTCCCACTGCCAGCGCCAAAGCCAGCGCCGAAGCCGGCGACAAAGACAGAAAACACAATCAGGGTCCTTTTCTAAAGACGGAGTGCGGCCCGGCCACAGGTGAGTCACGGCGGCTCGACGGGGAGATCTTCTTCACATTATGGAAATTGAAGTAAAGGAGGCCTGCTGCCCTGCTAGAGGGGCGGGGGTGGGGGCTCCCACGGCCCACCAAGGCCCTAAGCGGCCCCTTTTCAGACCTTTATCACGGCGAGTGTCCCTGGGACCGCATAGCTAACGCGAGGTCGGCGGCGCGCGCGGCGGGTTGAGGAAATTTCGCCAAAGTAAGCTTACCTGAGACACTCGTCGACAATTTGAGCAAGAACGGCATATGAAATATGGAACTGGGAGCGGAAAATAAAATATTGACTGCCTCTAATCCGCAACAGGGAGCCTATAGTCAGTCTATATAGCCTATCCGCAGCCGGCCGCATGGCAAGGATTACCCCACCGCCGCCGGAAGAACACCTCACACCACCAATAGCCAATCCATGCACTCGAGGTCCTTTGCGGGATCAGTGTGTGATCAGCAGCCTACCTGGCAGCCACGCATCAAATCCTCAGCACGCTTCTATTCTTCGCGTGTCATTTTCTTCCCAATTTCGGCAGTATCAAGCTGTGCCTGGCCGCCACGCCGCGCCCGGCCGCGCCGCTCTGGGGGTCGATGACGGCCGCTGTGCAGCGGCTTGTTCGACACCATGTTCGCCACCGCCGCCGTGTCTCCTGAGCTCTCCCCGCGTCCCCTGTTCCCCTGCCTGTCGACGCCCAGCAGCGCAGCGGGGTGTGCTGCGGACACTGAGCCCCCTACCTACTTACACACACGTAGCACAAACACACACACATGAGCACACACGCTCTTCCACAATGTAACACCACCAGCAACAACAGCAACAACAGCAAGATCGCGCGCGAGATGAAGAGGGGGATTACAAGGGGCTCAGGGCTGCAGCCGCGCGCGGCGGCGCGGCCGGCCGTCGCCTTGGTGACGGGGTGGGCTTGGAGTGGAGGGCCGCGCGACGCGGAGTCCCGCCAGGCTCTCACTGGGGCGTCGCGTAGGGTTGCGAGAGCGCTGTTCGAAATGAACCTGCCTGCCGACGCGACGGCCGACGCGGTGGAGTTAGTGGCGCCCCGACTCCAGGTGGCGGCCAAGCCTTGCCAAGCGGCCAAACGAAGACCTCTCGCCCCTCGCCGCCCCGCTCCCATTACCAATTCGGCACTGTCCGTTGTCCGTTGCGATCTCGGACTATCCCAGGCTGTCCTGGCTCCTGTCCCAGGCAGTCCGGGCGGCGCGGCGGCACGGCGGTACGGCGCTTGCCCGCCCTGAGGCTCGCCTCGGGCTGGGCGGCTGGGCGGCCGGGCGGCCGGGCAGTCGGACTCCCCCCTTTTCGGCCTCACCTTGCTAAACGCACGACACCTTATTTATTGCATCCCTTTGGAAATGCGCGCCGCGCCACCAGAGTGCCGCCCGGCCGCGCGTCGCAGTAATGAAAAAGAAAAAGGAAACGGGAAAAGGCAGAGGAAAAAGAAAGAGAAAGAGAAAAAGAAAGAGAATAAAAAAGGAAAAAGGCATGGAAATGACGGGCGAGCAAAACCACCATGCAGCCGGACCGCACCGCACTGCCCAGGCGGCGCGGCACCACTGTCGCACCACGGCACCCATGAAAGGAAATCATTTTCCTTTACTTCGCCATTCGCCGCGCGGAATGCGCCGCAGTGACGGACGGCGTCGCAGGGCGCCCCTAAATGGGGGCGCCAGGGCGAGGGGGGGGGGGATTTTGCTGCCCCTGCCGGCGAGGTGGGAAACGCATGTGCCCGGGGCGCTGTTCTCGATGCGTAGGGCTCGGCGTTGGTGGCGTTGGGTGCCGTGGCCACGGCGTGGGCCGCGGGGCGCACGCCGCATGCCGCTGCACTGGTCCAGGTAGGGCCAGGGGCAGCCAGGGGTGGGGGCGGGGTGCAAGATCTTCATCGGTGGTCTTCTTCTCCTCCTTCTCCCCCTCCCCTCCCCGCCCATAGGGTTCACCGGGGGTAGAGCAATTAGGCCTTCTTTGGGTCGGCTAATATGCCGCTCGCGCCGAACCGAGCCGCGCCGAGTCGAGCCGAGCAGAGACAAGCCGCGCCGAGAGCTGAGCCGAGCCGAGCGCCGGCCAGGAGGGCCCCTAAAACTCGGTGTCGGCGAATCTTGCAGCAGGTCAAAGCCGGGGCCGGGATGGCGCTACAGCGTGCTACAGCGTGCTACACGCTGCCGCCCAGCCAGGACGCCGTTGTGCTGTTGTGCTGGGTGCTGGCCGGCACCTCGCCATGCCCGCCATGCCTCGGCTCTGCAAACTGGTTCGAACGTGCAGCCTGCGCAGGAGGCGCACGGCAAGCACGGCCCGCTGCAGGATAAAAGGCCTCCGCCGACCGGTCGCCACGCTTCCCTGCGTCCACACAGTGTGTCCACACAGAGGCCGAGCTTGCCGCGCGGCGGCTGTAGGGCCTACACTGCAGACCTCGCCCGGCCGGGGCCTCACCTCAATGGCTGAGTGCTGTGTGTATATGCCAACACACGGCGCTGAGCTGATGGCCATATCTGTATAATCGCAACTTCATTAAAAACGGCAGGGAAAAAAGGGAGGCGGCCGTAATCTTTTAAAAACTCATTCATTGGCCAGGAGAGCCTGCCGGGGCTGCCCAGTAGGCCCGCTGGACCACACAGAGCAGCACCCGCAAACAAAGCGAGCAGCGGCAGGATTATTCCGAACACCGCGTTCGTCGCTCTGTCTCGCTCGCACTCGTGGTGCGTTATCGGTGTGCGAGAGAGACAGAGAGACTATGTGAATTTCCGGAATGACGGAGCGGCTAGCGCAGCAGCAGCACTGTCCAGCCTGCGCGGCCGCGACCGCGCGAGCCACGCGAACGCCGCTGCAGCCGAGGTGCCGTCATCATCATCCTCGTCGCCGTCGTCATCGTCATCGCGACGGATGGAATTGTCACCGCCGCTGGCGTTGCTGGCAGTGCCGGCCGGCGGGACGGCGATTGTGGGTCCGTGGACAAAGGGCAAAGGTGTGCGGCCCGAGGCGGGGCAGGCCCTGTGGGGCAGGCCCTGTGGGGCAGGCGAAGCAGGGCGAGGTGTCTTGTGGGTGGCCGGCCACGCCCCCGCACCGCCCCTTCGACCCGCCGCGCCGCGCCACGCGGCCCCGCCCCCCGCTTCACTTATTTTTGCTCAGCGCCGCGCAAAGAAGCTGTTATTTGCACCGGCTTTGTGGCACTTTGTGCACTTTGTGCGAGCAGGCCGGAGGCGGGGGCGGATCCAGAGGGAGGGTGGGGGGAGAGCGGCGGAGAGAGGAGGGTTTGCTGTCCCCGACACACGTGGCCATGGCGTAAAGCTTACTGCACTCCGTGCGCGTCGTGCGCGTGGCGGCGTGCCCCGCCAAGTCACGTCACCCTGCTGTCACCCCCTGTGTCCGCCATGTCCAGCCAGTCCAGCCCGCCGCCTCTGCCGCCACTCTGCAGTGCAGTAATCCTCACCTGTCGCTAATTGAGCGAAGCCATCAGCCACTTTCGCCCACACTCGTCGCTCCGTCTCTTTCGCACCTGCACGCGGTGCCTCACGAGCCTCTGGGGCGCTCAGCGGTGCGAGAGAGACTGAGCAACGAGTGCCAAATGAGTCGGCTGCCTCCTCAACGAGGCACTTGTTGCGCTCGGCGATCCTCGGCGAGGCGTCCGTGCTGCGTGCGCTGCGTGTAATCCCGGCGCACTTGCAGTGGGCAGACATTCCACCCTGCATTCACGGCCCTGGGGTGCGCAGCGCAGCCGAACCGGAAATAATCTCAATGAAGAACAAAGTCCACACGCAGCGTTGACGCCGAGGTTCAGTTTCGCCAGGCGACTTACCTACCACAGTCCAAAGCAGTCCGAAAGAGCAACATTTTTCCATCGCTCCATCCTGGAGTCGGCCCACAGCCCGGTGCTCACTTTCCTCGCCACTTGTTTACGCCAATTTCGAAGTCGGGTCCAGCCAGCGTCGCCTGGGGTGCAGCCACTGCGCGCCGCGCTCACGAGGAGCACTTCTCAGTACTTGGCCATTCATCGAGAATGCAAGTAGCCGGCGCTGATGTCGCGTACTTCCTTCGCATGCCACGGCGCGCTGCCCAGCCATTCCGAAGCGCCTCCCGTCGTCGCCCTGTCTCTCTCGCACCCCTGCGAGGCGCGCCTTGAGTGCGACAGAGACGCAGCGACGCAGCAGGCTGGTCATCCCTCCAGCGCACCACCACGCACCACGGCCACCGCGCGGCTCACGCGGCGCGCCGCACAATGCGCATTGGTCACGGCCCTTGTCTCCGGGGTGCTACTGACACTGGTTCAGGTGGCTCAGGGTGTGCTCAGGTGCGAGAAGTAAAGTAATGTGACGCTGGCCGCTGGCTCCGCTGGCACGGCACGGCAGGGCACGGCACGGCAGGGCACGGCACGGCACGGCACGCTGAGGTCCGGGCGGCCCCGCGGCCACCATCCGGCCCAGGGTGTGAAAGGGGCGGATCCCGGACGGAGCCACCCAGGCAGGTCGTCGGCCCGGACGTCGTACGTCCACGACGACGATGTCCACCACCAACCGCACGGGGGTTGGGCGCGCGGCGCGTTGGGTGTTGCCGCCATTCAAGCGACGCCGCCGCCCATGGAGCCCCGCCCACGCCAAGGCCCACACCTTGGTGCTTACCCCCAGCGTAGACCCCGGTGGGGCCAGCAGCAGCAGCACCCCCGCGTCGGAGATGAGTCAGCAGCGTCCGGACCGCCGCCTTCAACTTGAGCACGAGGAGCAGCACGAGGAGCAGCACGGGGACACCCATGGGACACCACGCCAAACTCGAGCCAAGTGTGGTGGCGCCGCGCGGCCTGCTGCAGCATGAACCCCTCTCGCTCGCCCTTTCGGCGCTCCGTTCGCTCAATGTTCATCGATTACCGTCGATTACTCGGAATCGGTCAGCTCCTTTTTCTACCGATAATCGACACGAATCGAAATCGATTGCACGCGCGCACCATTTCGAATGCGGCCGCCGGAACGGGCAGGGCGAGGGCGGGCGGGCAAGGCGGGCCGGCGGTCACCTGGCCCTACCTGGCGGCCCTGGCGGTGAGCGCGGCAGCGTGGCGTGGGCGACATGGCGACAGGGGACACGATGTCCAACACGTGTCCCGCCGTCGCACCCGGCCCGTCCTAAGGTGTGCTTAGACGCACGACCCTGCCCCATCAGTGGGCCCCGCCGCTTTGCAACCCTCCGCGTCGGCCAGCGGACTGATTCTGCACCCCTACAAAACTACAAAACGCCCTACGAAAATGAGACGCGCCGTCGTGTCGCGCAGCTTGCCGCCTCCGCCGCCTCCACTGCCTGCCTCTCTGCCACCCCTTGTCCGACTTGTCCGCTCCCACGGCCCCCTCTCCTCCTCTCTACCTTTATGACGTCTGTCCAGGTCGACGAACGGTCTGGCGCGGCGGCGGGGGGAGGGGAGGGGAGGGGAGGGGCGAGTATCGGGAAGCACGGCCAAGCCTCGTCGGAAGGGTGCGGAATGTTTTGCAAGCATGTGTCCCTCCGACTCCGAGGCCCTTGTTCTCGACCGGTGCTTGGCCTCGCCGCTCTGTCTCTCTCGCGCCTTCGCGGAACGCCCCGTGAGTGCGAGGGAGAGAGCGCTGTTCACTCCGGCCTGACGCTGACCCTCGGCCACATGGCGGAGGCGGGCCTGGCGAAGTGACCGAAGGCACGGCCTGCATGTGCTGCCCCGGACTGTCCCGCTGCCCCAGGTCTGCACCATTGTTCGCGGCCGGCCGAGGCGACAGTCCGGCGCCGTGAGGATTATCCCATTGAGTTGCCGTCCGTGCTGGAGGCGTGCTGGAGACCCTCTCGGCGTGCCGGCGTGCCCGGGGATGCAAACAGCAAACAGCCCCCAGGTGCTGCGCTGCTGCGCGGCCGGCGCGAACGCCCGCAAAGGCATGTCCTGTTGTGTCCTGTCTGTCTGCCTGTCCTCGAGGGAACACAAGAAGGGTGATGGTTTTATGGCAAGGTACGCCCCGCCTCGGTGCCAGCAGCAGCCCAGCAAGGTTCGCCGGCCCCGCCGCCAGATTTGCGATCTGCACAGGTACTATTATGACTGGAAAGCCCGGAAACCATGGGTCGAGTAACTGTGAAATGGCCGTCGTCGTGCTGTAGAGGCTGTCCCAACCATGTCCCAACACGGCCGAAAAACAAACAGAACAGTCGGGCGGGGGCGGCGGTTGCAGCGGGGGCGGCGCGGGCGCGTGAGGCGGTGAGGCGCGAGCAGCACAAGGCCCGCCGCAGCTCAGCCGCGGGCCGGGCGCCTCGATCGCGACGTCCGCCCCTTGGTAAGAAAATGTTGCCGCGCGTGCTGCGAATAAAAGCGGCCCAGGGGGGCGGCACCGCGGCCGAACCGCACTATTCGCAGGTCGCAGCGTGGAGAGTCCTCGTCTTTGCAGATTACCGACGACCCCTAGTCCCCTTCGCTCTTCGCTCAGCTTGCTCACCTCATCCGTTCCCTGGAAAACAGACCAGCCCCAGCCTCGCCCCGCCCCGCCATGCGCCTTCCTGGGACACGCCGACGCGACCCCACCACACTGTATCCCAGATGTGACGAGCAGAGGCAGAGAGGCAGAGACAATGTGCGATGTGCCCACCGGCCACCAAACGTCCGCGCAGTCCGCGCCGCCTCCACCGCACTGCACCGCACTCGCCATGCTTCGCGGAATCGGCTGGAGGTGCCGAGGAAACGGAGCAGCGGAGCAGCGCGTCTGGGTCAGGCCGGGGAGGGAGGGGAGGGGGAGGGGTGGCTTAGCGCGGCGGCAAGTCCTCCTGCCTCCTGCCGTACCGTTAGGGGGTGTCCTTCCCCTGATGAGCTTGATGGAGATGGACACTTTGGCCTTTGTGGCTGCACGCTGCATGCTGCACGCCGCCCCCAATGCCCGGAAAGTTCCCGCCTCCGAATCGCTTCGCTCCCAAGTCTGGACTTGGCGGACGTCATCGCCGTGCTCTGAAAATTTAGGATCTTTGGTACAGTAGGTTAGGTTAGGTAACACTCCTGTTGGACTTATGGACGACGAACTTTATTCAACGTAGAAATAAAAAAAAAACTCTCTCAACAAAACGCAGCTTCCTAAAATTAAATTGGCGTCACTACCCTCCAAGGATGGGCCGGGGGCGTCAAGGGACTGAGGTGTGGACGACGCTCTGGTCCTCCCCTGCAGCAAGTCTTTAGCTTCGGACGGCCGCCGCCGCGGTGCTGCAGTCCACCAAGCGCACCGCAGCCTGCACCGCGCCGACGACGCCGAGCCTGTCGGCTCGCCGTGCTCGCTGGCACATCGACCGCCAGCCGGACTACTTGTACTTCTCGAACTCCAGCACGTGGCTGTCGGGGATCCTCGAGGCGTGCTCGAGGCCCACCTTGTTCAGGCACTCGACGAGCGGCTTGCCGGTGTCCACGGCCAGAGTCAGGGCCTCCTTGACGGCGGCCGAGTCCATGGTCTTGAGTTCGGAGGCCCAGCCCGCCGCGCAGTACACGCGGATCCAGGCGGTGGAGCAGCCCGTGCCGTACGTGCCGAACTCGCCCGTCTGGTAGTCCCAGGGCAGCATGTAGTGGTAGTGCGGCCAGTGCGTGCGCGTCACGATGAACACCAGGTTGCTGTCGGAGGACGACCTGGAGCCGGGCGCGGCGCACCGTCAGTGCACGTCAGTGCAGAGCCCTTGCTTGCAAACACACCAAATTCGTACTGCATGGCTCACCTGGCCTTGGGGTCCAGCCCCCAGATGAGGATGGCGCTGTTGACGAGCCAGGACATGTGCAGGGCGAGGCAGTACCGGAAGAAGCCCGCCACGTACACGGACACCAGGATGGACTCGCCCCAGTACTCGACGGGGAAGTTGATGGGCAGCAGCAGCGCCACGATGGGCATCAGCACCCAGAAGTACCTGCACACGCACGGAGTGCACGGGGAGGGCGGGGTTCACAAGCGGCCAAGTTTCTCATACAAGCGTACGGCGCCGAGGGGTTACCTTTTCTGGAACATGACCACCTTGTCCTCCTCCAGGTCACTCATGTCGATTTCCTTGGCCAGGTCGTCGTAGCCCGCCTGCTTGGTCAGCATGCGGCTGCCCATGTGCGCGAAGAAGAAGCCCCGGTTGTGGTTGTAGGGGTCCTTCTCCGTGCCGAAATGCTTGTGATGGATCCTGTGGTCCAGCACCCAGTCGTAGATGGAGCACTGCGAACGCGTGGACAAGTGAAGCACAATGTAAAATCCTGGGTTCGAACACCAGTGCTTCGAGGGTCGTTTTCCGCGGCCACCCCAAGGGGAACAGATAGACAAAATCGTGTCAAAAAATCACATCAATGTAATTTTCACGCCAAAATGGACCAAATTTTGACCTGAGACCGCTCATTTCGAGGGCCTGTCGACTTGATTTGGGCTTTTTCTGTTCTCTCTGGAACGTCCACTCGTCAGGTGATCCTGAAATTGGAGGCTTTACGTCGCTTCCTTGATCTCTGACTATACCTGTCCCACGGTGGTCTGGGCGAGCATGAGGGCGACCCGCAGTCCGAAGGAGGCTTTGTAGCTGCCGTGGGCCCACAGTCTGTGCGCTCCGGTGTTCACGGCTAATGATGCCAGCATGACCATGAAGATGGCTGCGGAGACAAATCAAATTAGCGCCGCGTCGGCCGGCGAAGTGGACAAGGGCCGCCTCTTGCAGCACCCCGATGATGGGCTGCACTTTTATGGAGTCGCCCGCGGGCACGCCGCAGTTTTTCTGCGCGTTCCCGCGATATGACAGCGACTGACGGCCGGGCGGCGACTCACCGTAGAGGGTGGTGCTGTAGTAGGCCTCGGTGATGATGAGGAAGACGCCGTAGAGGGCGGCGAGGTGCACGTGGATGTGGAAGAGTACGTTGGGCCAGCTGCTGTCCCTGGCCTCGCGCGCCTCGCGCGCCTCCGACCCCGCACCGCTTTTCTGCTGCGACGACATGCCCCCTGTGGAGCAAGCAGGGCTATGAAGCAGGGCGACGCGTCATGGACCTCTCTGGCTACAAAACGGGAGTGGGTCAGCCACCCAGTTCAAAGCGAGTTCATCAGTGGTTTTCGGCAGTGTACGCACTGCCCAGCGATTATGCGGGGAATGTCGAGCACAAAAAAGTACACTACCAAAGGAAAGCGTATTCCACGACGATTTCCGCTTTAGATTATCAACGGCGGCTCTTTGAGTGCCAATATTTAAGCCATATTAAAGAAGCCCGAAGGCCGCTCAGCTGGTGCTCGTGCTCAAAAACCAATTCCCGAATTGGTCGCGCTGTCCCCCTGTCCCCGGTGCCCGCTGCCGAGGTCAAAGGTGGGTTCTTTGTGTGCAAATGGGCCGAAGTGTGGTCGTCCACCCACGCCGCGCTAGCCGCCCTAGGCGCGCTGGCCGCGTCACACCGCGAGCCGGCCGGGCCCCATGGCCGGGCCCCATGGCCGACGTGGTCGCCGATGCGCAGGCCGCCAGAACGCCAGACAGCGCGCGCTGCACACCGTGGTACCAATTTCAACGACTGATCCTCTCAACAAAATGTTGACTAAGTCGGAATACTTTCGCCCATTTCGAACAGGCGTTCCAAGTTCGGTTTTCACTGTTATGTGCGCCACTGTGGGATGGAAGATGGAATCCCTAATGTAAGCGCAATGAGGCACACATAGACACCCAATCTTGTCGCACTATGACTCAGCGGGAAAACGAAAAAACTTGGCGTAATCCTCATGGCACTCCGAAACTGTTGGTTGCAACAAGTTGGTTTTCGATGAAATTTGAACGGCTACGGAAAACTTGCTGAATCACTGCTTCGTACTTCGTAGTCAGCTGGGCAGGAGAAAAGTCCGAGAATTGTCCTGGTGCTCGCGAGCTTGGACGCGGCTGGCTTGCTGGCCCAACTCACCGGTGGTAGTGCTGAGCGGCTGAGCGTCTCCGAACCCAGTCCAAGCGAGTTCGGCTTCCTCAGAGAACTGAAAGGGTGTCCGCGGCCACGACGGCAGTGGTGGCGGTGCGGTGGCGGTGCTGTGGCAGGGCCGCGAAGGGCGGGCCGCGACGGCGGGGCACGGCGGCAAGGCGCGGGGCACGCGGTCCGCCCCCCGCGGCCCCGCGGGGAGGTCCCCGCCGTGCATCGCATCGTGGCATTGGCGCCGTGACCGGCAGGGCCGGCAGGGCCAGTGACCATGGTTCACGTACGCGCCCTCCGCGGCAACGCGTTGCTGGCGTTGCCCCACGGCCGCTCGGACCTCGCGAGAAACGCGAGCCACGGGGAACGCAGTGGATTTGCATAAGGCGCCGCGAGCCTCAAATTGCACGACGGCCCTCTTTGCCTTTATGGGGGGCTGTCCGTAAGCACGCCGTAAGGCGCACAAGGCGCGCGAAGACGGGCGGACGGGCTCCCCCGGTCAGTGTCCGCGCTCGGCGTCCACGGGGGTCGTTGCGTTGGCGGGAATGGTGCTTTGGTCTTGGGCTCAAAATCGCGATAAAAGATGACATGGAAGGCGTCAGGCAGGGCATTCACCATCACCTGGCTTCACCTTCACCTTACCGTGCCGTGTTCGTGCCACGACGCCCATGTCACCCGATTTTCAGGTCGGCAGTTCGTGGTTCATCATGGAGTTGAAGAGGGGCGGGGTAAATCAAATGACGGGTAACAATGATTGTGTATATTAATTACGAAGGTGGTTCTCTGCTGGCACTCCCCTTCCCGTACTGTAATATACATGCATAGAATAATGGCATCATCATTTTGACTTTGTTAGTAAAAAATAAAATGTAGCGGTCAAGATTTTTCAATTTTCAGGTTCCAATTTTATTTTATCAAAATTAAACTCAAATAATAGGGCGCACTAGAAAAAACAAAGAACACCACACCCGTCCCAAAAAAATATAAGAAACATTATTGAAAGCTAGATTAAAAATTTGTACCCTGTTTACTACAGACAGCTACATTAATTTTATATATCAGTTAGCTTTTCAGAAGTTATTTAGAACAATCGACTTCAAGCCATGATGAAAAGGTACTATGCCGCATTTCTCTGAAATTTTATCTAGACTAGTTTTACTTAGATAGACGCTTTTTTCCTTTACAGCTACGTAAATTAACAAACTTATTTTAGGTGTAACATTAACTTAAGAGCCTTGTCGATTCGTGATCACCCCAGATTGTACGATTATAATTGCAGAAAGTGCAAAAACGAACATTATTTTAGGCGACTCACTGCTTTGTTCTTGCTCTTTATTTCCAGCTTAACCCGTCAAGCATCACAAACAAATGAGGTATTTCTTTACTTTGGATACGACCTCCACCACGCTCTGCCAGCGCATCCCCCAGAAGTCCAACCCCTTCAGCTTGCTCGGGAAAAGTTCGTCGCCGTTTCAGTGATTCGGACACGACGCCGGCGTGGCGCGGCGGCACCCGGCGGCAGGCAGGCTGGCACCAACTTGGGGACGTCTGGGGCGCCTGGCGGGGTGGCGGACGGACGGAACAACGGCCCGGCACTCCCGGCGACGTCCGCGTCTACGACGCCGAGGCCGTCGGCGCGGTCCCAGCGAGCCGCGCCTCCCTGGGCGACGCCCCGAACATGCCGGAGCCCGTGCCGTCCCCGCACCGCTCCACGCGCCGCTGCACCACCTTGTCGTCGGCCGAGCGCAGCCCCCACGCCCAGCCCAGCGACGCGAACGCGTCGATGAAGTGCGTCGTCAAGTTGATGCGGCCGTTGCCCAGCTCCCCGGTGCGGTAGTCCCAGGGAAACACGTGGTGGAAGTTGTGCCAGCCTTCGCCCACCGCCAGCAGGCCCAGGATGGGGGACTCCACGGGGCTGATGTCCCTGCGGGGAGACAAGACAGGTCGTGTCAGTGGACTCGCCGCAGACACGCAGTCGGCCGCCCAAAATGCCCAAGTGTCGAAGGTCCGACCAAAGGTCGCAGAGCTTCAAACGGCACGTCACGCCCGATCACGCCCACAGCAGGCAATGCGGGCAGCAAGGCGCGCCGCCCAGGTAGGCAGCCCATCGTGCACGCGGCTTGGCGGGCAACACGCCCGGCGCACGATGGGCTGCCTATCCTCGCGGCGCGCCGGGTCCAGGCTGGGACTTAGCAGCGTGGCAGCGTAGGGCCTTACTTGTCGTAGGGTTTGAAGCCGTGCGTGTGCGCCAGGCTGTTGATGAGGAACGCCACGTTGAGGGTGGCGGAGAAGCGCGTGTTGAAGTTGACCCAGAACGAGGCCCACAGCGACTCCTGCCAGAAGTACACGGGCACCAGCACCGGCAGCGCGATGGTGAAGAGGGCGAACAGCGGCTCGTACCACCTGGACACAGACATTCCGATTCCAGACATGCCCTGTCTCTCTCGCACTCATGGGGCGTACCGCATAGGTGCGAGAGAGACAGCGACAGTCCGACAGTGAATCAGTCTTACCGTTTTTGCCACATGACGACGCCGTCGCTCTGCAGGTCACTCATATCCACCTCCTTGCGCGCGCGCTCCACGGCCGGGTGCGGCGTCAGCACCAGCCAGCCTACGTGCGCGAAGAGGAAGCCTCTGCGCGCGTCGTGGGGGTCGGCGTCGGTCTCGGAGTAGCGGTGGTGCACGCGGTGGTCCAGTACCCACGCCCAGATGTGCCTCTGCGGACGCGTCCGCGGAATCGCAAGTCAGACGGAGCTCAAACCCAAACTCAAAACACGGGCAGTCAATGTTTTACCTGTCCGGTGATGGTGAAGAGCAGCATGAGGAGGACGCGGAACTGCCAGGAAGCCTTGTACGCCCTGTGCGACCATAGCCTGTGCACGCCGGCCGTGATGCCGAAGGCGGACGTGTACATGGTGACGAACGCTGCAACATGTCGGACGACGCCACACATTAGTTTCATGCCGAAATCCACTTTCAGCGCGACAAGCGTCACTAGCGATGGATTATTACTTCCACTTCCTGCGCCAGCAGCGCCAGCAGCGCCAGCAGACTGATACCGAGGGTCATTTTCGTCGCTGTCTCTCTCGCACCTATTCGGGACCCCCCCCATTCTTATTTTTTTTAAAAGAGGTATATTTCACATATTTTTATCGAATGACGTCAAATAATTTTTTTCTGCTCCAGGCAGAGTTAGTTTCATCCATGAGTGCGAGAGAGGCAGAGCGACAAAAACGACTCCTGAAATCGGTGTGCAGGGTTCCGGGCGCCGTGTCCACCATGATGACCGTGGCCATGTCGGCGGGACGGTGGGCGATACCATCGCTTCCCGCCCTTCCGGCGCACCACCGGCTAGGTAAATGCGCGGTGCGTGGACGGGGGACGGGGACCGCGGGCCGGCAGGCGCCTCCTAATTTCAAGGTAGCAACACGTGTGGCCGCCAGGCACGGTGTGGCACGGCTCCCCTCCCTCCCTTTGCTCGCGTGGCCGTTGGGCCCGGCCGTCTCATAGCGGCGTGGCGCCGTCGACGTCTTGGGGCACAGGGTGACGGCGTTTTATTGGTCTGGGCCGCGACGCCGCGACGGCGAGGGAAAGGGGGCGGGAGGAGTGCGGGGAAGTTGACCATGCGACCGAGATGCAACTATGTAGTCTCCGCGCTGTTCCCTCCGCGCCGCCCCCCGCGCCGCCGCGCGCCGCTAGGCCGCGACGCCGGGAACCCCTCCCCTCCCGTCGAAGTAGCGAGATGCCGATGCCAGCCGTGTGGCTGTGACACTGTCACGCCGTGACCCGGGGAGTAGCCATGGAGTAGCCCACCGCGATAGCCGGCCACCACCAACAAGCACTGCAGACTGATTGCGAGAGGGTCTTCCCCTCCGTCTCTCTCGTACCCATGGGGAACGCCCCCTGAGTGCGAGAGAGACAGGGGAATGTCTGCTCTGCTGCCAACCGGAAGGCGAATCTCCAATCCGCGGAGTGCAGCCAGACCAGAGAGAGACAGCAACGCAACGACGCACCGACCCTTCCGAACTTGGTCATGCTGCGGCGCTGCGGCAGAAGGCATAGTGACACATGCCGCTGGCGCGCCGTCCTGGCCACCCGGTCCACTGTCTACCCGCGCCCCACTCTATGGCAGTGCTCTCGTTTACAGCTTATCAGCGCCACTTGCCGCGCGGCGACGTCATGGACGTCATCGACGGCCAATCGAAGGACGGCGACCGCGAACCGCGACGCCCGTATGTGTCACGCTGTGCCGGCCGGCCCCGTCATCGGATGGAGCTCAAACCGCTCACGCCGCTCACACCCACCGGCAGACAACGCGGGCCGAGTCGGCTGAGCGCGCACGTGCACCGTGCACCGCGGCGGCGAGTCGGCGCTCACACACTGGGAGCGGGGCGGCGGGGCGCGGCGCGGCACTCGGAATGGTGCACGCGCCGCTGCCCGCTCACGATTCCTCTATTCCTCGACCCTTCCGCCGAGAGGCCTTCCCGGCACAGCCGTGGCGCTGCGTTGGGCGCGCTCCGGATTTCGCCTTCCCCGCTGGCCGCCTGGCCTAAAGCCTGGCCTACAGCCTGGCCGCGCGCCAAGGGCTCGACGTCGGCGTCCGAGGCGCCCAGAGCCATGCTGCGCCTGCACGGCGGCACGCCGGCACGGCCGCTTCGCACGCGGCCCGCGGCGGAAGCGCCGCCGTCGGCCCTTGCCGCGGCACGTGCACAAAACACAGCTGTCCACACAGACAGGCGCACACGCACGCACTCAGAGCGGATCTCAGCGTTCACTCGCGCGGTGCTCAGTACTCACCCCAGAGGGACGTGGCGAGGCGGCACTGGGTGCACATGAGGTACACGCCGTACAGCGCCCCGGTGTGGATGAGCACCTGCGCGGCGAGGTCCGGGTACCGCAGCTTGGGCGTGTAGTGCTCGTTAAGGCGGAGGACGCCGTGGATGCCGCGGCTGTCGTGGACGTGCTCGTCCGTGTAGTCGTCCACCTCGTGCTCCGAGTGGTACGCGCTCTCGGCGGGACTGTGTCGCGCCGCCCGCCGCGTCAACGACGTCGAGGGCGTCGAGGACGTCGACGTCGGCGAGGAGGACCGCGACGACCGCCCGGAGCCGGAAGACATGCCGCTAGACTCGCTGCTGCTCTCCTGTTGAAAGTCCGTGGGTTTTTGTTTGCTTCTCATTTGGCAAAGACATTGACCGTCCGACTACCGGCTGATGACAAGCAGGTTCATGTCGACGGTGACACACATACCCAAGTGGAAACAAACTTTTGGTCCGGATGCCTGTGACATGCGTACGTCATTGAGCTCATACTTCATAGATAACAGGTCTAACATTAGCGTGGCCAGATACGGAAGCTCAAGTGCCAATTTGTGTAATGCGCTTTCCGTTCAAAGACATCCAATCAAATTCTGATAATTGAACTCGCGCTTTTCACTTCTCGTGCATGGGCACTATACTGAAGAGCACGAATGCTGACAGTAGAGGCGGGAGCTCCTTCTTTACTCACCACGTATCCGGCCGCGGCGTCCAGCCTGGACGCCTTGTCCTCCGCGGGCTCGGCCAGCCCCGCCACGGGCAGGCCCTCCATGGGCGCGGCCTCGCAGCACTCCGCGCCTCGGAAGGCGTCGCTGTGCACCGTCATGGCTCCTGCGGCAGAACAAGAAGAGGGTCCGCGTTCAGCTTTGGTGGTCAGGTTCGACAGACTGCGACGCCGTGGTGCATTGCCTCGCTGCAGACTCCACTGTTGGACCGAGCCTCTGGGCGCGCGCAGGGCGTTTGGGGCGGGGCGGGGCGGGGCGGGCGGGGTACTTTGTCGCGTAACTCTCGCGCTATCGCGGCACGGCGTGAAGCGGGACGCACCTGAGTCAACACGCAACCCAGCAATATCCGTCTAGCCCGGTCTAGTCAGTCTCGCCGACTGGGCGGAGGCACAGCGAGTGGCACAGGCCGTGCGAACCGCTGGACCCGGCTGGACCCCTCGCCTGCCGCCGGCCCGCGCGGGCCAGTGGATTCGGTGGCATTCCGACCGACCGTTAAAAAACATAATGACAATAATCTGTTACCAGGCTGGCTACTGCAGTTGCTACCTCGTGGATGTTACCATGGTTGTTTCCGAGTTCTAACAAGCAAACGATACTGAGGCGTCAGTGCTAGTGCAACCTGGAGGAGGACTGCCACCTAGTCCACCCTTCGGACAAGCTGACGCTACACTGCGGACTGCGGCCGCGGAATTTCGAAGCGGGAACCCCACTGCCGTTCCCCACTGCCCTTGAGGCCTTCAGGCAAGCCTTCACCCTAGGGTGGCCTGGAGGACACCTGCCACTTGCTGTTCTCAAACACGTTTAGAATACGTCGAAGAGGCCATTGTTTATGCGGCTAGCTCGATGAATCGAACACACGCCGCGCACCTCCCGACGCCAACCAAAAGCAACCACAGCACAGGCCGCCGAGCTGGCAGCCACAGAAACGACCCCGGCGGCACGCCGAGCTGGCAGCCACGGAAACGACCCCAGCCGCACGCCGAGCTGGCAGCCACAGAAACGACCCCGGCGGCACGCCGAGCTGGCAGCCACGGAAACGACCCCGGCGACACCCCACGTCCGAGCGACTTTCGAGGCTGCTGGAAGGGTGGTCTCTTGCGCGCGGAGTACTGACGGCGGGTTCTTAGGCTTTACAGAAGCGCGCTTGAGGGGCGTTGCGTGCCGGTGCGAGAGAGACAGAGTGGCCAGCTGCGGCGGCAGGCGGCACTGACCCTGGTTCAATCTTGACTCTGCAGCTCGTCTCGTCGCCGCCCCGCCACTGAACAAGGACCGCAAGGACCCCAGTGGTAAAACGGTCGGCCTGTCGGGGCGGCCCAGAGCCCGGCACAGGTGTGCGGCTGATAAGATTGGCTCGTCCCTGGCCGCCCCGGCCCTATGGCCCTGGCAGCCCCAGGCCGCGCGCTTGCAGGGCATGCAGGCGATAGATTAGCTAGCGCCCCTCAAGTCGCGAGTCGCGTCCGGTACTCTAGAAACTGAAGAGAGTGCATGGCATGCTCCTCCTAGGAGTCAACCATAAAGCACACTCTTACCAAGAGCATGCTTGCAAGCACACTCTTCCCAGGAGCATGCTTGACAAGCACGCTCTTCCTGGGAGCATGTTTGCAAGCAAGGAGAGTGCTTGAAAGCATGCTCCTGGGAAGAGTGTGCTTGCAACCATGCTCTTGGGAAGAGTGTGCTTGCAAGCATGCTCTTGGGAAGAGTGTGCTTTGTGGTTGACTCCTAAGAGGAGCATGCCATGCCCTCTCTTCAGTTTCTAGAGTATGGACGGGACAGTGATGCATCCTGCCCGCGGCCCGCCATGCCGCCATCGCGATAAGGGCTCGCTGACTCAGCAGCCATTAGTGCAACGTAAGTTTTTTGAAAAGTGAAAAAAGCAACGCAAACAGGACGACCATACTCGAGCATGCTTTTTTCGAAAAGAAGGCGTTTGTCACGTGACGCGTTCCTCGACGTGAAGGGGCTTACGTCGCCAGTGTCCTGACGGGTCTGCGTCGGTGGTCATATCAGTAACGATCAGTGACGCACCTCCGCGGGGCCCTTTTTGGAACCGTGGCGATGTTGCGATCGTGGCACACCGCACGCAGCCGGGGCCGGGGCTTATGGACTAGGGGCAGCCACAAAGTGCTCCTCTGTGCCGAACCGAAAAGCCTCGCGGACCTAGCATCGTCGCGACCTAGGGAAGGGGGCGTTCGGGTTGTGTATATTCTGGGGAAACGACTACGACTTATCCCCCCCCCCCTTTTCCCCAAGGGGCTTCCTCCGCACACCCTTCCTGTTGGCGGGTTCTGCCCGAGATAGACAGAAACACACACACTAAACGCCCCTCCCGCGCGCCCTGCACGCCCGCGGCGAATCGAGGACTCTGATGGAGGCCCACACTGGTGAAACAAAGGCATAAAAATTATGCCCTTAAAGGGCGTAAACGATTTACGCCCTTAAAGGGCATAAATCGTTAATGCCTTTGGGAAGGGCATTAAAATTTTTCTTGAAATTCCTATACCATTTACGCCCTTCCCAAGGGCATAGAACGATTTATGCCCTTGCAAGGGCGTAAAAGAGTATTTATGCCCTAAAGGGCGTAATTTTTATGCCTTTGTTTTACCAGTGCAAACCGACTCTAAAACGACGGGTGAACGATCTGGCGCCCCCGGGCTCCCGGGTCGGCGCCGGCGTGCGGAAAGCGGCGTCGTCCACCCTTAGCGCCGTGCTGGCAGGCAACGCGGCCACCCTTGCAGCGGTGCGCGACGGCGGCCTACTCGCCCGGCGCTCTATTACCATTACCATTGAGGGCTAGACCACACTGTTCCGCGGTCGGCGCTGCGAGAAGCCTCGCACTTTGACGTTGACGGGTTGACTCTGCACTTGGAGTGCGGTATGCGCGGCCGCGGTCCGCGGGTTCGGCGGTGGCGGTGGGTGGCGACGGTGCGGCCGGCCAGCTGGCATGGCGCTGGGAGCACGGCGCTGCGGAGCACGGCGCGGTGCGAGCGGCCTAAACGGTGATGTCATCGAGGGCGTGGGGGAAGGCGAGGCGCTAAGGTGCGGTCGTGGAGCAGCGGGAGGGAGACGGGGAGCAGCGGGGCCTGCTGCGGGCTCCACGCGGGGAAGGGCGTGGACACAGGCCCAAACAAGAGGGCCGCGTTTCCAGGTTTCCCGGTTTCCAGGGCCGCGGAATGCACCATCACGGCCCTATCGCGGCCTGGGTATCGAGCGCCGGCCGACGTGCGTCGTCACGGCCGTCGTCATCGTGGCGGCGGTCGCGGCGTGGCGGTCGCGCCGGCAATCGGAAAGGAAAGCCAATCCCGCGGCCGACAACGTCGACACGCCGACAATAGCGTGGCCGCGTTGTGTTGTGAATGCTCGCCGTCCTCACCGCACCCCTTGCAGTGCAGTGCCTCGCAGAAACACGCGCCGGTGCCATGCAGTGCCTTGCAGTGCCTCGCAGTGCCACGCACGCGTCTGAGAAAAGCGCGAGGCACGCCGCGCTGTGATGAATTGCGCTTCACACCGCCCAATGGCGCGGCCGCGCGGCCCGATGGCGGGGGGCGTTCTTCGACGGCCAGACAGGTTGTTGTGCCGTCCGCGTCCTGCCCGCGGCGCCTTTGACTGCTCCCTCGCCCTTCTATCTAATCGCCTCTGGACGCCGAAAGCCAAAGCGGTGATGCCGCTGGACTATGGCGCCAGGGCGAGCCGAGCCACTGGCCCGCCACCTGCACCTGCAGATTAGTCGCGATAGTGCAGGCAGGGCGGGCAGGGCAGGCAGCGTATCCCCAAAATTAATCCCGCGCCGAGCATCAACACGGCGGCATCATCACCGCATCACCGCCAACGCATCGGTGCCGCGGCCATATGTGCGGGTGGGGCTTCCCCCTCCCCGCCCAATATGTGGCTTACAGTGGTGGTGCTCCGCGCTGCCGTGACGCGCCGCGACGACGCACCGCGCGCCGGCTGGGTAACTCTAGCCCGCTTGCTGACACGGCAGAGTCCGAATCCGCCCGCCACCGGGCGAAAACGGAAAGAATGGTTTCAAAAAGCCCGCCAATGGGTTGCTGCCACTCGTGCCGAGCGAGCAGTCGCGAAAAAGAATACCGCTTGCTAACAGGACATTTTTTGTCGCGGCCGCGCCGCCGGCGTGCAGTCCTGCCTGGGATAGGTCACACGTTGTTAGCAAGTCTACGGAACGCAAAATGAACGAGACAACAAGTGGACGCGCAACAGAAAGGAAAAGTATTCGGGAAAGGGAGAAAGAGCGCGGGGGAGAGGGAAGGGGGGACTAGAATCACTCACGTGTGACCAGGGAGGGGGGGGGCGTGGACGCGTACCGCGCTGCAGCACTAGGACCGCGACTGACTACTGACTAGGGCATTGCCACGAGAATTTTACAGCGCACGCCGCTTGTTAGGCAACCTATCGCACGGGTGGGTATTGCTGCGAGCGCGGTGAGCGGAAGCCAGGACACCGCCCACGTCTGGGCCGCGCTAGCCAAGCTAGCCAAGCTAGCCAAGCTAGCCGTGCGGGTCGTGCTATGCTAACCGTGCAGAGAGGCGGCGAACGTGGAAAGCCATTTTGTGGTCGCGCAGTGTTCACGTACGTAGCGTTTCCGTCGCTGCCTCTCGCACTCCACGGGACGCCCCAGGAGTGCGACAAAGACAAAGGCAGAGCGATGTCCGGAACCAGTTCGCTGAAAGCAGCTGAAAGCCCTTCAGGCCAGTGCGGCGGGCCGTCAAAGTTCAGAGCCAGACAGCCAGACGTCGAGCGTGGGCACCAAAATGATGTCACTGCGGCCGGGATAGCCAGGAGCAGGAGGACGGGAGGATGACACCGCGGTTATAAAGCGGTGCTAGTTTGCCGGGCAGCGCGACGAAACCTCCTTTTTTTTGGCGACCAGGAATAACGAGACTCCTTTCGCAGTGTTGCCGGGGAAGAGTGGAGTGGAGTGGAGTGGACACACACCTGTGCCGGCCGTGTCACGGCACCGATAAGGCACTGCCGGCTTGCCGCGCTGCTTATCCGGTCCCAAATTGCCCAGAAACTAATCTTGCTCCTTGCTATTGACCCTAATCCCGGCCGCGAACAGTTTTCCACAGGTGCATGACGCGGTGCCGCTTTACAATCGATCGCTCTCGCCGGACGCGGACCGGCCGGTTCTCGAACCCGCGACCGCGACTTTGGCCCACGAGCGTTTCGTTATTTCCGAGCGGGCATTGGGCGGGCCGGCCGCGCCGCGCCGGGCCAGTGGGCGGGGCGGCGTTGCTCGGCCGGGCCCGCCGGGCCGAGCCGAGCCGAGCCCCGAAACTACTCCAGGACGAGTTCAAGGTCGGGGCCGGAGGTACCTCTCGGGATCCTCAGGATCCTCGAATTTCCGAAAGGCGAAAACCTCAGCAACACTGTGCCGCCAAGCCGGCCCCGGCCCTGTCCCCGGCCCCGCCGCGTCCCCTCTCCTTCGGCCGTGTTTACATAACTGGTGCAGAGGTAGAAGAGAAGAGGACACAATCCCGTCTTCCGCCGGGCCGGCACTGCGGCGACTGCGGCTCCCAGGTACAGTATTTACGCCCCTCCGCGCGGCTGTGCCGGCCTGTGCCGATACACTGTAAGCCTTACACCGTACCGCCTTACCTGTCTTGCCTCACTGCTAATCACTGCGAGGACACAGAGTCGGCCGACAGAGTAGAGTAGAGTGGACCGAGAGACAGAGCGCGCTGCAGAGCTGCAGACGCAATCTCAGCGTCCACCTGCCGCAGCGCCGCGCGACGGGCGCCCCATGGCCCGGCCCGTCGGCCCGGCACGCCCAGCACGCCCTCGGGCACGGCGACGACGCTGTCGACGCTGTCCTGTTCGTGGGGCCGAGGGGCTCCGGGCGCCGCGTCTCGAACACACACGCACACACTGACACACACTCACGCACCACGGGTCAGCCTCGAGTGGGCGATGGGCGGTGGGCTGCAGATGGCGGGCAGTGCCACTGACACAGGCCACACTCCGAACACTCGCAACACTAGGGCGCTAGCGGCGCCAGCCTGGTGGCCTGGCGTGCTGAGGACGTGTCCAGCTGCCCACTCGTCCTCGAGGTCCTCGGTCTCGTCCTCGGTCCTCGGCCGCTGACTAGAACCGGATGGCGGCGACGCGGTGCACCGACTGAACCGGCCGCGGCGACGGAGGAGAGGCGACTGCCTTCCTTTCCTTCCGCGGCCGCGGAGAGCGGCGAGGCGAGCGGCGGCGGGGCGGCGGAGCCCCGCGGCCCGGTCCCTGGCATGGCAGTCCCTGGTAGGGCCCGGCGGCCCGGCCATGGGCCCGGCCATGGGCCCGGCCCCGCATGCGGCATGGCGGCGCGCAACGGTGCGGTGCGGTGTAGGGGCTCCGAGCGCCGGGCGTGGCGTGGCGGGGCGTGGCGGGGCGTGGCGGGGCGTGGCGGGGCGTGGCGGGGTGTGGCGGGGCACAGCGGCGTTGCGCTTAGCTGAGCTTCAAGGGCCGAGGGCCAAGCCCTACGGATGGGCTGGGCAGCCTGGGCCCTTCGTGCTGCGGGGCACGGAGGGGCCGAGGGGCCCCACTCCGGTCAGCGGCGTGGGACGGTCTCAGCCCCCCGCCCGGGCGCGCCCCCTTCCTCCACACACGTGCGCCGTGCTGGCCGTGCAGGCCGTGCGCTGCATGGGCTCGACTCGCCGTCCCAGAGGCCAGAGGCAGCCAGAGGGCCTCGACCTTCCATCAAGCTGCAGCTGCTGCAACCCAGCCCACACTGCGGCCGTGGCCCTGCGCATTCACATTGGCGCAGGTGAGACAGAAAACGACAACGCATCTACCACAGATACCGCCTACATTTTTGGCTTCGCCCAATGAAATGAAAAGAAATTAAATAAAATAAAATGGCGGAGCCATCTGGAGTCAGAGCCACGATGTCTGAAAACCGTCAACACGGTCCGTTTTGACACGGGACAATGTAGACAACAGTAAATGTGCGGTCGGAGAGCGAACAAATGGAGAATAGGAAAAGAAATGAAACAAATCGACAAAGAAATCAAAGCAACAGAATAAAATTGTTGTTTTCTATCAGTTCGTTTGTAAGAATATCACGACACACGGGAACGCATTGTAATGTAATTTCTTTATGTTGGTACGCGGTACATTTGAATCAAACCTGAAAGCGAATCTGCTACAATTTCAATGTGAGTCAGTACGATGCTGGAGGGGAACATTTGAATCTGAACGTGCAAGGAGTGATTCGAGTAGCCCGACTGGTAAATGTATCCTAAATTGGGACAGGCTCACCCCGGCTCGCCTGGCAGACGTAATCAACCTTACCTGCACACCTGACAAGTTCACGTGTTTTGCGTGGTGTTGCGATACAGTTCCTTTCAGCATCTATGACCGAACTCGAAATGGTTACAGACAACTAAAATGAGAACCAACGTTTAGGCAACCTTGACAAACTCGAAGCTCTTTCCTCATCAACATCAGCTGATGCATTATAGACACTGCGGAACTGCGCAATCGAAACTTATTTTTGTCATATTGAGTTCCGTAAGGTTGAGTGGCTCATGAAAAGGAATTACGAAGGCGAAGCCTGAATGAACATTCGCTACATAGTCCTAGAATCGAGGACTCCATTTCCCAAAACAGCGCTTATCTCCAGCAAACAAGTCAGACACCGTCTGTGGCTGAGACCAGCATTCGACGACAGGAAGGCAGTAAGCGTGGTGCGTGAATTTGAATCTTCCGGAAACGGGCAAGGCTCATGGTGGCCACTCATCACAATGTACCAACATAACGTAAGAAAAGCTCAGTGTAACTTAATTTACCGTGTCTTTGGTAAGGGTTCATACTAACTTCAGATATTATCAACACAATTACCACGAGGAATAAAGAACGACATGAGGCAAACAACTGTGTCAACGGGTGATAGAGGGACGAGTTTCTGTTCTATGGTTGGTACTGAAGTGGGCGGAGGATTGTTTTCTTCCAGAGTCATCTTCATGTTTCCAAACATTTTCTTTTGATGGCTCGTGCATATTTCAGCGATGATAAATTGGTATCAAAGAGATTATGATAGCCTCCAAGGATAGTCCTCATTCCGCAGTGCAGGTGTCAGTTGTTAAGTTGGTACTTGTACACAACAAGCAGTCTAGCAGACGACGTCATACATTGCACCACTAGAACATTCATCACGCGGTGCGCAAATTTTAGAACTAGTCAAAATGTTGGAAAGGCTTGGCCTGTCTTCCCTATTTGGCTCTGCAACAGCTGCGACTGAACCCGAAAAACCGGCCGCAACCGAGAAACCCAAGTGCAAGGCATGTTGTGCCTGCCCTGTGACCAAAAAGGCTCGGGATGAGTGGTGAGTGGAGGTTATAGTCCTCTGTATATTATCAGAAAGTTCCATTGTTTTACTTGTCTTTTTAATGTCTTCGTTTTCTTTTCCCCTCATGGTTTCAGTGTTATCGAAAAAGGAGAATCTGAGTGCGGGGATTTAATAGAAGCACATAAAAAATGCATGAGGGATTTAGGATTCAAAATCTAGTCAAAGCACCTAAAGTACGTGTATGACTATATGGATGGTGTACTGACACCTGTTCTTAATTCCACCTTACACATTTTAATAATATTTTTATCTGTATTTTTTTTCTCTTCCAGATGAGCCTTTAATCGGCTGTATTTATTTCTGGTAGAAATTTAATGGCTGTCACTTTGCGTGTCGTGGCGATTCGGCTAAGTCTACTTAGTTTTTGTTTAAAATGTGATTGTAATTATCTTCAAAATCCTCTTTTCTAGGAAGTTTCTTTTAATTTTACATTGTTTCTGTTCATTGTGATTGGTTGTATTGACAGCTTAGTTTAAGATGCATGTTTCAGACTCTCCTTGTTTGAGATTGATATTACCAGCCCGCTATCATTTGTGAAAAAGTAATTACATGTTTTTCATCAAACCTTATTATTTTGTTGTCCTTTACCTTCCTAAAACTGAACTCAACCATGACTAGGTCTTGAGAATAATAAAAAGCAGACACCTCCAATTACTTTCTTTTATTGAATTTTAACAAACCATTTTACTGACAAAATACTTTTTGAAAAAAGTCCCAGCATATCCTGAATATCATTAGTTTGTGTAAAGCTAACTTATCAGAGTGACTTATTAGAATGACTTATTAAACCCCAGAAGTTAGAAATAAAATAAAATCATAATTGAAAGAAATGGACATCATAATTGAGAACAATCAAATTACAAGATAATAATGTGAAATCAATCACTTATCTTTTCCGTCCTTAAGTTCCGGTTTAGGACTAGAGAAATTTACACTACCTACCCTCACTCACAAAAGCATAATAGATAGGCTTAGCATAGCCAAAAGTGAGCTTGGCAATCACTTAAAGCTATTCACCTTACCTAAGAAGGAATAACAATAGAAAGCATCATTTTACAAAACACTCAACGCTGGTTGCTCCAGAAAAACTGAGGGTGGCCTCCGTCTCCAGAGGGTGTGTTGGCTGGAGGTAGTTCTGAGGGTGCGTTAGCATACCGAGGGTACTGCTGACGAGGATATGGGGGAATCTGCTGCTGACTGTAGGGGTATGACTGAGGTCTAAAAGACTCAGTAATGATCTCCTCCTGAGGAGACGGTGCCTTGGGACTACCATTGCCTCCACCGCCACCACTTAGTAGTCTACCCAGTTCAGTCAACATTACTTTTGCTAGTTTTATGACTGCTACGTGTGCGGCAAATTGTAAAACTAGGGCACCAAAGCCTTTGTAAAACCCAGGAATGCCTTCTTCTTGTAAGGTTGTCCTATAACAATCCCCAATTCCAGAGTAGCTTGTGAGGATGGGTGTTACTGCAAATCCAGAATCCAAATTATCAATGATGGTCCTTGTTCCTTGGAGGTGTAACCTGCAATAATTATAAATTGCATAAGTCCTTATGCTAAATAAAATTAAAGTTAAAACAGTGGGTATTGTTTTTTTTTTTAGCAAACCTGTGTAAAATGGTTTCCAGAGGGAAGAGCAGCACATCTGCTGTCACAAGTCCAACAAGTGATGAAGTAATTTCAATGTCCTCAGAGGTTTGATGCATTTCCCGAGGAAAAGCACCCTGAAAAATAAAAGAGCCTAGTCACTTCTGTCTACTTTTCCTAAGTGTCAAAAGGAGGCTTTCAATAAAAATAAACAACACACCTGTTTTTCTCTCAGAGCACGTCTTTGGCTATGAAGGAAACGGCTAGTAATACCTCTGGTGCATAGACACACAAGGTATTTAAGAAGACCATACATAACAGTTGGTGTGACAAGGGCCCACACTGGCAGCATTCGACCTAAAATTGAATAAAACATAGAATTAGATCTAGAAAGGACCCAAGATTGAACCCAAAACTAAATTTATAAATTTTTGAATTTGAATTACCTTTTTGAGGTGATCCCCAGCTCACTAGTCTCACAATACCTTCTCTGAATACATCAAAAATGCCAGGCTTTTCACTAGCAATATCACTTTGGACAGTTTCAACCAGACTTGCAGAGTAGAAGGGAGTGATGATAGCCAGGCTCACACTGGTCAGGACAAAAGGTACACATTAATATCTGATTGTAACATAATTTTTCCATAAGATAAGATTTTAATTTGAAAAACTACCATTTCAGTAGAATATGCTGTCCAAATGCCTTCAGAGAACTGTCTGCATTCACTTCCCTATGGTAAAAAAAACCAACAGTTAAATTGGTAAACAGTTTGAAGATACCTAAAACATAAATTTGTATAGAGAAGACTGCAGTTGGGTAATTTCATACTTTGGCCATGGAGTGAACTTAGTTATGAGGTCCTCCACAGCGAGTGTCATGCCTCGAACAAGGAGAATTGAACCTAATCCTTTGCATAATGTAGTGATTCCTTGCCGCTGGTGAAGATGAATAAGTACAGGGACCAGCGTGATGGGCACCAAGTGATAGCGGGTGGAGGCATTGTGAACCTATGAAGAAATACACAAAGATAAGATAAAATTCAAAATATTTCAGCTGGGCGTTTAGATGTTGATCCTCACCTGGCACTGTCTCCTCAATACAACAAATGGGTGGCTGAGAAGATTTTCTGTGATGAGAGTAGCAAGACCCACCCCTACACCAACATATCGTCGTACAGTAGCCTCTGCAATGAAAGGGCAGATGATGACCAAATACAAAATAGATTAAACCGACTGTATATATTTCTGGTGATTACGTAATTCAAACAGCGGATTCAATAAATCAAATTTTGTAATCCAAACACCGAAATAATGTGCAGGGTTAAAGTAATAACACAAATCATCCATCACACTCAAATCAAAATGGATTAACAATGCAGTCTTATCAGTCCAGACTAGTCCAAGTTAATGACAAGCTAACCTCGAAACTGACAAATCATTCAGAGATACAAGTCTTTTAACACGAAAATTTAAAAGACATGACATAAGAAAATTCTATGGTAAAAGTATGTCATTTGCGAATACTGGTTTGTAAAGATGTGGGCATACCTTCTTCATCATCTGGTGACCGCGGTGGCCCTCGAGGTTTGATATCCAATTCCTTTGGACGAATGCTCCTACTCGGTGTAAGACCTTCGGGAAAAGCTGGCTCCCAACCAGTTCCTGCATCATCCCGCAAATCCTTATACCTGCTATAATTGTGGTAATCGTCAATCCCTGCCATTTCGTCCGCTCATAGAAGGTTTCGTCTTTTTTGTCTCGACTAGGCAGGCAAATATAAACACCACCTTCCGTACGAAGACTGAGTGTCTTCTGCTTCTTTCTCCTGCGTATATTGCGAAAACGTTATGGGAACCACAAGCAGGTGTGGACGATGGCGACGCCTAGTGGCGGTCCTTCGAACTACACTTAGGCAATACTCCTGGTCAGCAAGCGCAAGGAGTATCGCAGCGTCAGCGTCGCCCCCGCGCCCTGTAGTGTAGAGCTGAGACCAGGAAGAGGATTCTGCTGTGCATGATTTTGTCCTGTTCATTCTGACTTACATATTTTTTTATTCTACTATGCCCAATAAAAATGTGTAAGTCAGAATGAACAGGATAAAAACATGCACAGTAGTGTGTTCAAAATAAAATTTCAAAAAATTCGTCGAATTTGCATTTTTTGCTTTTCGCGAGTAAGCTTAAATCCCGCGCCCCAGAGGACAGTGGTATCGCAGCAAAGCAGCCAGTGAGAGTGGGAGTGGAGCCTAAGATATGACAACTCTTTGGCCACCCCTCCCTCCCCCCCAGCCTTCCCCTCCCTCTGAGGTCATGTGACGTCACTTCCCGCCCCTGCTTCCCTGCTCCACGCCGGACTGCGGCGTATAGCCTATCTCGTCCAGGGCCTTGATGTATTCCATTTCCCGCTCTGTCGTCCACCATTATTACTTCCCGAGAGGGGGGAAGGGGGAAGGACACGCACGTCGTTCGGCGCACCAGGTTGACGATCACGATGACGACGGCAGCAGCGCGCAGGCACCGCCACGCTGCGCCACGCTGCGCCACGCGCCGAGGCGTCGTCCCGGCACACCCGTTGGAATGAAATTTTAACGCGAAGGGGGGGGGAGGAGGCTGGAGTCATGATGCCGTTGCTCGCATCGCTAGACCTGGGGCAGTGGGGCTAAGCCCGGGTAACGCCTGCGGGACCGCGAGGTAGGCAACCCAACTCGCGTCGGCTAGCCGGAGCGCCTGCGAAGCGGAGCGTCGGCCATGCGCTCGGCGGCAGCGTTGGGCGGGCTGGCCCAGCCTCGCTCTGGCAGGCGCTAGCCGCGTGCCGCGTCGCAGTCCCAGCGCCATGCCTGGGGCGTCGACGCCGTCCTCCTCGCCCTGCAGTCCGACACGGACTCGGCGCCCGCGGCTGCAGGTAACCTCGTTAGGCGCCCTGCCACCTTGGTGCCGCTGCCGGTCCGGCGGTCCGACGGTCCGACACTTTGGCTCGCCCGGCGGTGCCCGGCGGCGAGGGTCCGAGCAACGCCGCCTCGACAAGGTGATCTGACCCGGCGCCTCCGACAGCAGACTGATTCCGAGAGGCGTTTTCGTCGCTCTGTCTCTCTCGGACCATAACGGGACGCCCCATGAGTGCGAGAGAGACAGAGCGACGACAACAAACTTTCGGAATCAGTCTCCTGGCCTGCGCCTCCGGGCCTGCGGCGTCTGCGCCACTGCAGCGTCTCCGGCAGGGCCGTCTCCGGCAGGGCCGGGACCGCCAGGACCGCCAGGACTCCGGAAGGCGGCCGATCGCGGATATTAGCATTTGCTCCGTCGGCTCCACTCCTGCCACTCCGAGCCCCACTCGTGTACACTGGGGTGAAGAACACCCCGCAGCCTGAAGAGAGATTCCGAGGGTCGTTTTCGTTGCTCTGTCTCTCTCGCACTCGTGACGCGTTCCGTGTAGGAGCGGCGGAGACAGAGCGCCAAAAATGAGTCTCGGAATGGAGCGCACACGACGGCCGTGTTTGAAGAGAGGCCCTCCGGAGTAATTCCGCCGCGAGTGAGTAAGCGGCGTCGTTATCGCTCAACCAAAAGCAAACAAGGAGCCGAGACCTCCGCGGCAACGGGGCGACGTGGCACGCAAGTTCACCCCTCGGTGATGCGAATGCGAGAACCCGGTAAACCCGAGAGGGTTGGTGAATCAGTTGAGCTACCTCTCAGTTGACCTATCCATATTTCTTTAGACATATCGGTCTCGCCCACCAAGCGGTTCCCAGCAGCGATTTTGTCTCTCTGTCCCTCTCGCACTCATACTGCGTTCCGTGTCGGTGCGAGAGAGAAAGAGCGACGGTGCGCTGTTCTGATTGGGCGGGCTGGACCGGGGCAGCAACAAAGATTTTCCGCACGAGCGCGGAAAACTTTTGCAGTCACCGAAGGGAAAGCAGGCAAAGTGCGGCACCGCCACTCGCCACGCAGCACGTAATCAAAGTGCTCTCATAACTTAATCTGCAAACTCACGCCGTTCTGCGCTCTTTCCCCATCGCATCGGCCGGAGCGGACCAAAGCGGAGCCCGCGAGGGGCCCGCCCATAGGGCCCGCCCATAGGGCCCGCCCATAGGGCCCGCCCATAGGGCCCGCCCATAGGGCCCGCCAGCCCGCCGTCCTGCTTCGGTTCGCAGTTTCACTTGCCGCCAACTTTTGAATGGCGATGGCGGCACGCGGCACGGCACCTGCCAAGCGATTCAGCGGTTCGTCGCTCTGTCTCTCTCGCGCTCAGAGCCACGAGCGACCACGAGAGCGGCAGAGGCAGTGCGACGGGACGACTCTTCCGCTTCGCTCGGCTGTTCCCGGCTCGGCGGCGTTCACCTGCAGCCGCACGCCGCCACGCCACCACGCAGTCCCAGGCTCATTTATTCAGACCCTGTGAGCTAATGGTGGACACGCCGGGGACGGACGGACGCTACCGCCCCGGGGTGCCGCTGGGCCAGGCCGGGACAGGCCGCCGTGCACAAGACGCGGGGGGTCGTGACCGTCGTGGCCGCCGTGACGGCACTCTGTGAGCGCTTAAGCGCGCACCCCGCTCTCGCGTCGCCTCTCTGTTTGACTTCCGCTTAAAGACGTTTGTTTTCCACCACCGCAGTTGCCTCCTTCTCTTTCCGAGGCCGTCGGCGTGGAGGGCGCAGTCATGGAGGGCCTTAATTATGAAAAATAAACATGCTCAGCAATTAATGGATGACCCTCGCCCCGCCCCGGGCCCGGCAAGGCCCGGCAGGAGCGCTGTGGCGGCAACGCATTTATCCCCCCCTTCCCCCTTCCTCTGACACCTGGGGGCGGCCCGCCGGGCAGAGGGGGAAGGGGGGCGGGGCGGCTGGACAGCGCTGGACTCGCAGAGGGGGAGGGAAAAAGGCAGAGGAAAGGTAAGCCGTGGCATCACTGGGAAGACAAGAACTCAGACCGCCTCTGTGTGTGTGTGTGTGTGTGTGTGTGTGTGTGTCCTCCCTCGCAGCCGGTCCCCGGCGGTGGGTGCCGAAATGAGTGGCGACCTGGTCGACCCACGCGCTGCCTGGTCATTGGTGGTCCGAGCACGATTCTGAAAGAAAGGGTCCTCTCGACGAACTTCGCCACGCCCCGCCCCGCCACGCCACGCCACGCCACGCCACGCCACGCCCCGCCACGCCACGCCACGCCACGCCACGCCCCGCCACGCCACGCCACGCCACGCCACGCCACGCCAGGCCACGTCAGGCCACGCCACGCCCCGCCAGGCCAGGCTCCGTCATGCCCCCGCCCACGGCCTATTGCTCCTTAGTGCCGACATGATGATTTCCCCAGACAGCGTGAGAGGGTCGCTGGAGATCGCGTGGCGGGGCGGGGCGGGGCGATGCCCTCAACGGCCTGCCCGGCCGTTACGGAGCAGGCAACCCGCGACACGGACAACAGGGGCAGCAGCAGCACCAGGTGCCTCAGGAGCACTTTCTCGTCTCGTTCCGTTTTATTTGGCCGGTCTCCCTGCCGGGCCGAGGGCCAAGCGCCAAGGTGTGCGTCCGAGGCGCGCGCGTTGTCGTCGGGGAGCTCTTCTCTGGGGGCCCCGGGGGCGGCTCCGGCCGGGGGAGTGCCAAGATTTATGACACCAGCAGCAAATCATACATCTCGATCTCGATCGAGTGCGCGCCTCTTGGCTTGCCTCGGCCTGCCTCCTGGAGGCCATGCCCCCGCACCTCGGGCCAAAACCGCCACGACCGCCAGCGCCACACCGCCGGCTGACTGATCGGCCCGAACGGAACACTGTTAAAAAAATTTGCTGAAAATTCAGACCATTTTGACTGAAGTAAATATGCAGAACATCCTACTGAAAATTCAGACTAAATCCTGGTCTGAAATTTTCAGACTTACATAAGTCTGAACCTTTGGCAAGTGTGTGTGAAAATTCAGACAATTTTCTCCCTATTGATGTTGGCCCTGAAAGTGGCAGCAGGCTGTCCGATAACTCGGCTGAAATTGGTTTGGTCCAACCCGAGGAGAGACGAAAGCAAGGAGACCGTCGAGGTAAAAACTTGGCCAGGAAATGTCCTCAAACGTGGCACTCTTCCCTCCACTCACGGAGCCCGCCGACGCACCCAAGGGACGACGGTACGGAGCCACCCGCGAGAGGTAACTTCAATGTCAATGTTAAACTCACGCGTTTGCTACAGCTAATTTGCTCGCCAGCGGTTTCGTCATAGCCCATAGAGTAATAGCTATTTGGGTTCCCCAGATTAAAGTGAAGGGTAAAAATCGTTTTGGCGGCGGCGGGCCCCTTTACCGGCCTGCCCGGCCTTACGGAGAGACAATGCTTTCGTTTGTTTAAGCCAAAGCGGAGCGCAAACCTGATGTCAGACTGATTGTGAGTTCCTACTGTTTGGTTTGACGGTTTCCATTTTCGTTGGTAACATGTTGCGACAGGGGTCGAATCCGTATGGGGACTCTTCTCTGGAAAGTCTGACGCGGGTTCTCTGACTTGGGAAAGGTACAAATTTAAGACACTTCAAAGTCATAACCGATCTTTCGAGAGCGTCCAAGACTTGCCTAGAACTCTTCCTGTGCAATAAAGTCTGATTCAGGCCCAAAGACCGCCAAGTCTGACAAAATTAGTCTGAATTTTCAGAATTTTTTTAACGGAAGGAATCTAAAACTCGGAGCGCAACATCGCCTGCCTCGCCGCTCGCTTCCGGTACGCCCCGCCCCGCCCGGCCGCAAACCGCCGCACCCCGCCTTGCGCTGCGCCGCGCCGCGCTGTCTTGCGGTGATCCCCCTCCACCTCCACCATCTTCGCCGCCATCCTCGCCCCCACCTGGAGCAATCCAATCCACCCGGGCCGTCCGGGGCCGTCCGGGG